ATCGACAAAAGGTTTAGAAGATGTGGCCGGGAGCAGGAGACTATCCCGCATATATATATTAAACAATTGTGACTTACACTCTGCAGCGCGACAACTAAGGCACAATAATATTCAAAGCAGGCTCGTTAAGGCACTGAGATGCTCAGGACTCGTCACTACTAACCAAACCGTTGAAGGAACACATGGAGCAGCAGCGTTGCTGAGACTCGATATTGTAATTCAAGACGAGCGAAGTTAATAAATTCTAAGAATAATTAAATTTGCTTGTCTCCATTAGGGACTTGGTATGTATACATAGTATTTAACAATATCTTTTGTAACATACATACTAAAAAGCAAATAAATAAATAAATAGATCAAAATTTTAGACGCCACTGTTCCGTTTGAAAATAATTTGGCAGCGTTCAGGGCTACTAGAATGGAAAAGATCACAAAGTATGGTAGCCTGGCAGAACAACTTAGGGCACGAGGATATCGGGTCAGTGTCAACGCATTTATAGTGGTTTCCCTGGGCGGATGGGATGATAACAATCAAAGAGTTTTGGACTTCCTCAAATTTGGTCGCTTCTACGCCGGGATGATGAGGAGGTTTATGATAAGTGACACAATTAGATGGTCTCGTGACATATATGTGGAGCACGTGAGCGGGATACGACAGTACCCGGTGGAACATGATTTGGATCGATCGATCAATGTTAGGTCGTAACATAATGTCGTCAAGTAAAATCTTATATTCCTATAGGTTTAAACTACTACGAGCATTACATTAGCCTTTTGTAGACTTATTTCATCACTATAACGCTTAAAAATTTTCATCATTTTATTAATTATTAATTCATTAATTTATTCACTATCTGTTCTTTTTAGCTCTTTGCTGCTATAGTTGCTGACAGAGTCAAGATCTGGGCAGTCGCCAATAAAAGATACAGCACTTCACAAAAGGGATTTCTTCCGCAAGAGGGATGCTATGAGCATAACTTTGTGCTTCAGGAGACCATCCAGCAGGCCACCCGTGATAAAGGAGAGGTTGTTGTTGCCTGGTTGGACTTGGCCAGCGCATTTAACTGTATTCCTCACTCGTCTATTCATAGGGCTCTTGAACATCACGGAATGCCAGCGAAAGTGAGAAACGTAATCGATTCGCTTTATAAAGACACGAGAACTAAGGTTCGTACCTCGGAGGGATTCACTGACCCAATCAGGCTGCAGTCAGGGGTGAAACAGGGTTGCCCGCTTAGTCCGCAATTATTTAATCTCACCCTGGAGGTAGTTATCCGCGCAATGGAATTGACGGGTGAGGGATTTAAAATAAGGAATAGGCGTATTTCAACTCTGATTTACGCCGATGACATCGTAGTCCTTGCGGACACACCAGAGGGAATGAGACGTCTCCTCAATTCAGCTGAGGAGGGCGCTCGGTCGGTTGGTCTCGTTTTTAATCCCGCCAAATGCGCGACACTGCACATGAAAAGTGATTGTGAGACAATTTTTATTATCCAGGGGGAACCTATAAAATCACTGGGCACAAACGATTACTATCAACATCTCGGGATACCAAGAGGCTTTGATGTTAGACAAATTCCAACAAGCGCATTGAAAAAACTACTCGCTGATGTCAAGAAAATTGACGAATCCTTCTCGGCACCATGGCAGAAATTGGACGCAGTCTGCACCTTTGTCCTGCTTTGCTTGTACTTCATCATTCAAGGGGCTGACGTCGAAAAGGAGTACCTGAGGGCAGTGGCGGATTAAAGGAGGGGCTAGGGGGGGCTATAGCCCCGGGCCCCACCTTGGGAGGGGGCCCCGCGGTCTCGAATCAAAAATAATTTTTTTAAACCTGTTTCAAAGAATTTTGAATAATAGTAAAATGTTTTCCAAAGAAAATAAATTAAGCAAAATTACCTACGATTTTTAATTTGCTATCGGTTAACTATTTGTTGGCCAACGACGGGTGTAAATCTGTGATGAAATAACGAAATAAGTGGTATTATTAGCGAATGGGTTGGGAAAAACTGCGGCTGCACCGTGACCAACTGCTGAAAACGCTGCAGCAGTTGGTCACGGTGGCGAACGGTTGGGGGAAATTTCTACCGGAGAATGTTAATGTTTAACGCGCAATAATTTGAGTTATTCATTCATGCCAAAGGTTGTGATTTTCTATTTTACTTATATAATTTAAATCAATTTATATGAAAGATTATTTAATAACAATTCTAAAGAAAAAAAAAGAGAAAAATTATATCTGTTGATACTTACATATAAATAACTTTGAAAATGCGGTTAAAAAAAAACTATAAAAATATCGTATGTTGTAAAGAGTACGAGGACCTCACCAGATCGCCAATAAACGAGGCAGGGACAACAAAGGGCTAGATAGTGTAATGACAGAGAGATATCTCTGTGTGCCTAGTGCGAGATGTTGTTTTTACGCACTCGATACCGAGAAAGTTAACTACAATTTGTATGGAATAAAATCAGCGCCAATTAGTGGCAAAAAAGTGCTCACAAAGGCAGTGGTACAGTCTCTTATTTATCTAAAACTATATACGAAGAATTTATAGAGTTAATGCTGCAAAAGTATTAAAACGTATTATTGATGAAGTACACAGTGCAAAAGATTGGGGACTCGTCGAGATTCTACCCCAGATATATCCCACATCGATCAGTTGTCAGTCATTTTCCGATACTACTTAGATGGTCACGTTTATGAACGTTTTTTCTGCTTTTTACAAATAAAAAGTCATAAAGGTAAGTCGCTTAGTAATGACGTATTAGATTTACTACAGGAGCACGGTATCGACACTAAAAATTGCAGAGTTCAGATCGATGATAACGCTTCCAATATGTCCGGTAAATATATTGGACTTCAAGCTTGTGTTAGAGAAAAAAATGAATTAACGTTTTACGTGCCTTGCGCTGGCCATTCTCTAAACTTAGTGGGAGAATGTAGTATCGACGTATGTCTTGATGCTACAAATTTCTTCGGAATTTTACAGCAGCTATATGTATTTTTTAGTGCATCAACACATCAGTGGGACATTTTAATAATTGAGAATTCTAAAATAACGAGCTTACCGAAAACGAGATGATCATGTCGCGGAGACGCCACAAAAGTTGTAGTAAAGAGTTATGGAGGTATTTGTAGGGCTCTAGAAAAGATAATGACGAAGAACAAAAACACGAAACTCGGAAAGAAGCTGAAGCTTTATTGAAACATATAAAAAGACTTGAAAATATTTTTATGGCGATTCTATGGGATAATGTTTTAAGCCGCTTTAACGCGACTAGTAATACCTCCAAAAAGTTGATACAGATTTAATTTCTGCAAATAACATGCTACTTTCATTAGTGGATTTTGTGGCAGATTTGCGAGATACATTTTCTGACATTGAAAATCAAGCCAAACAACTAAGTAATTTTGTGGATCAAGAATATTCTGATACAAATAAACGAAAGGTCACAAGAATGCTAACCGACAAAGAATCACAAGCTAGTAGCTTAAGCCCGGCTGATAAATTCCGAGTAAACACATTTTATGTGATTATAGATAAATTAGTTGCCGAGTTGCAGAAACGGAGTGAAGCATACGATCGCATCATTTAACTATTTGGCTTTCTCACACAATTATTATTTATAGAGACAGATGTATTAGAAAAAAAAGTAGCAAATCTCGTAAAGGTTTACTCCGACGATTTAGAAAAAAATTTATCAGTTGAATTGAAACAATTTATACCATGTTTAAAACAGCAGCCTAAGGGCTTTTTTCCAATCGTACAGGAAAAAACACAAGTGCAAATGATGAAATCTTGTGTCCCTTAATTGGCTTGTATATTTAGACATTGTACAGTCTTATGAATACTGTATTGGTTTAATTAATTAATACATTTATTCCTTGCTAAGTTCACTAAGGTGTACAATTAAGGTTGCAATAAATGAAGACACGTGTCGTATAAACGGAGATATATTTGCGACTACTTTCTAACGTGGCGGACGCAGCCGCCACACCTATAACTATTATACATATTACACATACGCTACATAGCTGTTATACTTAAATAAGTATGGATATGATGTAGGACACCGGACACGCGATTTGAAGAGCCAGCATATTATATATCTATATTGTGTCCCTACACCATTCCCCTCCTTCACAAAGATTTAGAACACATAACTTACACTAGGTTAACACTCGCACTTGTATACACACTACGCGAAACCGACAGGCGTAGGTGCGGCTTGGTTGGGAACCGCCTGCACCCGCACCATGGTCGGATTGCTTACGCTCTGCTTCATTACCCAGCCTTTCACTACATGTATGCAACGGCGCCATAGTAGGTACCCCACTACGAGGACGAACACTATCACCAGTGCGGTCAACGTCCAGCTGATACATTCCAGCTTATTATCTGACTGATTGTTGACAGTCTGAGCTACTAGGCTGTTGCTCGTATTTTCCTCCTTGCTCTGACTCCATCCCATTTTTGAGCAATTCTAGATATATACGTCTAGCTACAATGAAGCAATTTGAACGAATATAGATACGAAAAATCGTCTCTATATGTTACATTAATAATGACTAACAATGACATGACAATTAAAATGCTAAAATACTAAAAGTTACCTTAGCAATTACGTACTTTGATCTATTGCAAAATGCATGCTATGCAACTCGCAACTATGTAGCATAAGGATAGGTGCACATTAAAGTATAATGTTTGCTAAATATTATTACAGCTAATTATAGTAAGTACATATAGTTTGCTCTTTAGAGTTCTACAATAAAGCTTAAAAAATATAATTGGAATTTTTCTAATTACTGTATTGGGTTACCTAGATATTACATAAATCATAACAACTAATAAAAGAAACAATTGAGTAAATTAAACTGACAGGTTGTTACACTTATTAATGATGTAGGTCAGAAATCGAACCTAAAGCAATCGTAATCATAACCACTAATCCTAAGTAACGATGACACGTTCTACCTAGAACAGAATAGCTTACAATGCAAAACGTACTGGCGTCTTGATAACGCGGCCGCATCGCGTTGTTTTTGGAATTAAAACTTTGCTAGAAGCGTCTGCGTTATTTATGCTAATAAAACTATCGTTACTACTATCATCACGAAAATTAGTGTTATTGCTTAAATCGTTTTCGTTCAGAATGTGCGCGGGCTTTAACCTATCCATAGAAATAGTACATTCTTTATCTCCTATTTTTATGACAAAAGTTTTCCCTCTCCTGCTTATGACGCTATAGGGCCCATCATAAGGTGGTTGAAGAGATTTTCTCATCACATCATTCCGAACAAATACATATTTACAATTATCTAAACTACTAGGAATAAATAACGAACGCGAATTACGGTGGCACGGTGGTCTTGGATTCAAATTACGTATATTATCCCGTAACGTTTGTAAATATTCTGAATCCGTATTGCAAAATTTCGCATCTTCGAAGAAATCACCTGGTAATCTGATTGGTTTACCGTAAGTTAATTCAGCTGCGCTCACACCACTGTCACTTCTAGTAGCGGCGCGCAGACCTAACAGCACTACTGGTAATTCATCTACCCACGAACTGTTGCATTTTAAGCGTGCCATTAAAGCCACTTTCAGTGCTCTATGCCAACGCTCAACCATGCCGTTACTCTGTGGATGATAAGGCGTGGTGCGCAATTTGTGAATACCTAAGTATTTCATTAACTGGTGAAAAAGGTCACTTTCGAATTGTCTACCCTGGTCGCTGGTCAGCTTCGAAGGGCATCCGAAACGAGAGATCCAACCTTCAAACACTATTCTCGCTACAGTATCCGCTGTAATGTCCTGTACCGGAAAAGCCTCGGGCCATCCGGTACACCGGTCTATCATTGTTACACAGTATCTATGACCGTCAACCGAAATAGGTAATGGCCCTACTATATCTATGTGTAAATGCTGAAAACGATCGGGTCGATCAAACTGCCCTACACCCGATACAGTGTGCCTTGTAATTTTAACCTTTTGACAATTAAGACATGCCCGTGCCCACTTTGCTACATCGCGATCCATATCTGGCCAAAAGAATTTTTTTTTAATTAAGTTTTTGGTTGTTTTAATGCCAGGATGACTGAGGTCATGGACGGAATGAAATGCTGACTGCCTGAATTGTTTCGGTAAATAAGGTCTAATATTACTTGATGAGATTTCACAATACACAGGCTTGTCACAGCCGGGCAAATGACACTGCTTAAATTGCAAGTTGCTATCCGACACTTTTAATGCTTGTTGTAGGTATTCGTCACTAGCTTGCTGTATTGCGATGTCCGTGTAATCTAATATTGTTGGGCAATTTATTGTCTCTATGCGCGATAAAGCGTCGGCCACTACGTTTTGTGTTCCGCTAATATAGCGAATATCAGTGGTAAACTCGCTTATGTACGAGAGATGTCGGACTCTCCTCGGACTTTCCTTATCGTTACCGACTTTAAGGAATGCATACACTAGCGGCTTATGATCCGTAAAAATTGTTAGAATGCGACCTTCCAGTAAATTTTTAAAATGTCTGACGGCCATATAAACTGCTAACAATTCCCTATCATAGGTTGAGTATTTATTTTCAGACTCAGACAACTTTTTTGAGAAAAAACCAAGTGGTTGCCAAATATTATTTACCTTTTGTTGTAATACTGCACCAATACTAGTGTTCGAAGCGTCGGTCATCAGCGCTAAGTCCGCATCGGGTGAAGGATAATGAAGCGTAGCGGCGCTTTTTAGGCTCTCTTTACACTTCAAAAATGCCTCGTTGGCCCTATCAGTCCAGTCAATTAAAGTTTTATCGCGCTTTTTAGTATTATGCAAATACGCGTTAAGTTCTGCCTGATAGTCGGCTGCCATAGGAATATGAGATCGGTAAAAATTCAACATACCTAAGAATCGGCGTAGCTGCTCGACGGTTTCCGGTCTCGGATAACTGACGATAGCCTGCACTTTGCGGTCAAGGGGACGTACTCCCTCCGACGACACCTCATATCCTAAGAACTCTAACTTCTCCTTACCCAAGTCACATTTAGAAACATTTATCGTCACCCCATACTCGTTAAATCTCTGAAAAACTTTGTCTAAATGTTCTCTATGGCTGGCTATGCAGTCACTGGCGATGATGACGTCATCGAGGTAAATGAATAAGAAGTCAAGATCTTTGAGGACCACCGAATCCATAAATCTTTGGAAAGTTTGGGCTCCGTTTCTTAATCCGAAGATCATGCGCGGAAACTCAAACAATCCAAAGGGTGTAATTATGGCAGTCTTCTCAATATCCGATTCTAGCACTGGAATGAAATGATACGCCCGTTTCAAATCTAATCGGGTAAATATCTTTTTATTACCGGCTAACACGTACTTAAAATCTTGTAGCCTTGGTATAGGATAGCGGTCGGGCTTAGTTATTGCATTCAACCTACGGTAGTCGCCACACGGACGAATGTCCCCGCTTTTTTTAAGGACAACGTGTAAAGGGCTTGCCCATGCACTCTTAGATGGTCTACATATTCCTAGATCTACCATAAGCTTGAACTCCTCCTTAACCTGCTTGTACCTGTCTGGAGGTAGAGGCCTAGCCTTCGCATGGACGGGTGGGCCTGTTGTCTCGATGTAGTGACATACGGAATGCTTAGGAGTCTCCTTATAAGACACAGGTTTAGTTAAATCCGGGTACTTAAGTAACATATCGTGCCATTCATTTTTACTATCTATGGTTCTAATAGACGACTCACCGTTACTATTGTACGCTACAATCGAAGCGAGAACATTTAGATGCGTAACTTGATCTCTTAATTTTCGAGCGTGTAAATCTACCAACAGTTTATAATGGCTTAGAAAGTCGGCGCCGATTATAGGCTGTTTAACGTCCGCTATAATAAAAGACCATCTAAATGCTCTCCTTAAATTAAAATTTAAAACTAGAGTACGCATACCATAGGTTCTGATTTCCGATCCATTCGCCGCATATAACTTATAATTATCACTTGCGATAGGTAACGACGCATACTTTTTCGCCACAGGGATCACAGATACGTTGGCACCCGTATCAATTAAAAACTTAAGTCTGGTATTCTTGTCGAAAACGCATAGGCGGTTATTATGTAACCCGATACATGCCTCCGCCCCTGGCTGTATCGTATCTAGTTTCCCTGTGCGAACGGCGTAGACGGCTTCGCTCCAGTCCAATTGCAAGGGTCTACGCACTTCGCGGCCTTGGGACCATAACGATGATGGTAAAAGCACAACCACTTCGGGTTCTTCCGGGACATACTGCCGCTGCGTTGCCGCGATCCTGATCGCCCGGGCCTACCCCTGTTACTTGAGTTATTGTTGCGTTGATTCGACCTCGACTGACGTAGTTCTGCTATTTCGATCTGCAGTTTACCCACCATGTCCTCTAAATCGCTGAGCTTGCTGGACGTAACGCTGCTGACTTCGGCAATTTCCGCCGGCCTGGTCGCTTCCATCACCTTATCCGCCACCGTCGCCAGGCTTTCCAGGTCCTTTACCTCGGTGACAGCTAGAACAGCTTGAACAGCTGTGGGTAAATGTCTGGTCCACATAATCTGGAGTGTAGCGTCTGGCATTTTATTCCTCGCGAGGTCTCGCATCCGACGTAAGAGCTGCGATGGCTTTTGAGCGCCGAGCTCCATCTCCCCCAGTAGTTTCTGAAATTGTCTGGTCTCTGACTCCTCAAACACTTGCAGAAGCCGATCCTTCAACGTCTGATACCTCCTTTCGGATGACGGCGACAGCAGTAGATCACTTACCTGCTGTATAGCGCTCTTGCTTAATTTGGTTACGACCAGGTTTTGCTTGGCCGCATCCCCAATTTTCTGGTTTTCTATGACGGCCTCGAACTGAACGAACCAGAGTCGCGGTTGGTCCGCCCAGAAGTCGGGTATTCTAGACGATACGCTGATACTCGCCAGCGCCACGGCGCCATCTGCGCGGGTCTCCATCGACGCCTGCTCGCTCTGGGCGGGCAGTGGTACCGGCGCGGGCGGGATAGGCGCTGCAGGAACTGGCGCAGGTCCTGGTTGTAGATGCATATCTTACCGACACTATTTCACAAACGGTTCTTCACGGGTCACCAGTGTACAGTCTTATGAATACTGTATTGGTTTAATTAATTAATACATTTATTCCTTGCTAAGTTCACTAAGGTGTACAATTAAGGTTGCAATAAATGAAGACACGTGTCGTATAAACGGAGATATATTTGCGACTACTTTCTAACGTGGCGGACGCAGCCGCCACACCTATAACTATTATACATATTACACATACGCTACATAGCTGTTATACTTAAAAAAGTATGGATATGATGTAGGACACCGGACACGCGATTTGAAGAGCCAGCATATTATATATCTATATTGTGTCCCTACAGACATGATACAAGTTTTTCCGTATACCTATATTGCTTGCAGGATACTACTTACACTTCCAATCGCAAATTGCGAATCAGAAAGATAATTTTCAGTTTTAAAAAGAATAAAAAACATGTATCGATCAACGATGTCAGATGACAGACTATCATCTTTAACAAGATTAAGCATCGAAGTCGACTTATTGAGATCAATTGACTTCGATGACCTAATTCATGATTTTGCTAGAGCAAAATCAAGAAATTTTTTAATCGATTTTTAAAATAATCGTTTGTACTTCATTGTATCTATAAATAATAGTTTATAATAAATAATTTATAATAAATTAATGAATGAATTTTTTTATATTTGATAAATAGCCTTTTTCGCTGTCCATAAGTGGGCCCCTTCTCAATTTTAGCCCCGGGCCCCATAAAGTTCAAATCCGCCCCTGCCTGAGGGAGGTAGATAGAAATGTAAAAAACTTTGCCAAGAGATGATTAAATCTTCCTCAGAGAGCCAGTTCAGAGTTGGTGTTTCTGCCACCGTCTATGGGAGGTGGAGGATTATTCCTGATTAGACCTGCTCGAATTGTACACCGTCACGCACGCTTTTAACATGCTTTATGCTGCGGATGATTAGTGAGTGGACTGGCTAGGGAGAGATTGAAGGAGGCTGTGTCGGAGAGACTTCGAAAAGAGCCTAGTAACATCGATATGGCTCGATATATCTCCGGCGATTTAGACCTCCCTCGATCCACATCGCGCTCATCGTTTTAGACCAAAGCGCGAAGGCACCGTGGGGAAGAGGAATTTGGAATTCAGTACGGGAATGATTTCTCCGTCACTAAGACAAAGTTTATTTAAAAAAAAATGCGCTTACAGCTAGTTCAAAATACTATGTCAATAAACTCCAGGCCAAAAAGACCATTTATACTTTTTATACTGAGGTGACACTTTTTCAAATCACTTTCTCAGAAGTGGAAGGAATACTCGCTTCTGTGTCTGAAGATTTATTTACCATGCGCGGCTTGGTGTCTTGTCACCGAATGCCACAAAAAGATGGCAAACAGATATCGACAAAAGGTGTATAAGATGTACTTGGGAGTAGGAGACTATTCCGCATGTATTGAACCATTGTGGTTTACACTCTGCAGCGTGACAACTAAGGCACAATAACATTCAAACCAGGCTCGTTAAGGCACTGAGATGTCCGGGACTCGTCACTACTAATCAAACCGTTGAGGGAACACATGGAACAGCAGCGTTGCTGAGACCCCATGTAGTTCGAGATAAGGTTAATAAAGAGATCAAAATTGTAGACGTCACTGTTGCGTTTGAAAATAAGTCGGCAGCGTTCAGGCTGCTAGAATGGAAAAGATCACAAAGTATTTTTGGTTGCCTGGCAGAACATAGGGCACAAAGATACCGTGTCTGTCCCGGGGATGACCGGGATGAAAACAACCAAAGAGTCTAAGACTTCCTCAACATCGATTCGGTCTAAATTAAAAGTGCCGTTAATAAATCTGACCTTTGTTGATGGCTCCGGTGGTTTTTGCCTGGCTTATCATTGAGTTGCGGCGCTGAGGGCCGCGAGTTTGAATCCCGGCATGGAACAAGTGTTTGTACGGCCTACAAATAATTGTACCGTGTCTGGATTTTAGTCCATGTGGAATTTATATATGTAAGACGATACAAAATACACGATATTTTTATATTATATATTTGAAATAAATGTAAATTATATATGTATGTATAACGTTACACGTCATAATAGACCAATGACTGTATCGTATCACCTTAAACAACAGCGTAGCTAGCAAGTTACCTATTGTAATTTGAAATAACATTTAATAATTTGTTAAAATTTATAAAAATGTACGCACAGATCTCGTACTGAACACATCTTTAATTTCACCCTCAAGAAATCCTAGTCGAATTTTATAAAAGTTATCAAAATTGTGAACCTATTTTAATTAGGTACGGTGTGGTAACGTTATTTTTTAATTAAAAACATTAAATAAAATGAAAGAAAATATATGGCTACCTACTAGTGTGGTTATCAAGGTTCTTCTATAGTTCCAAAAAACACGGTACCCTTTTTATAGGCGCCTCATTATCTGATCGTTATGGCGGTCTTGGTGTCGATAAAGCAGTAAATACTATGAAACCACCAATCCCCAAGAGCGTGCTGTACAGTATATCACCATTAACAGAACCTGGCGAATTACAAGGAACAATATGCTTTAAAATCATGCATTGATCTTGACACATTCGGATAAAGAAGTTGAACATGCGTCTTTGACAGCTTGTTGCCTCGCATAATACCTCTAAAGCCAAGTTTGACTGTTCATTAGGGAACTACACCACCCCAATGTTGCAGTTCCACATTGAACTTGACAAATAAATTACAAACCTAAACCAACTAATTATTATTGAATCTAGTTAAAATATATATGGGACCGCAGTGAACATAGTATACGTTCTTTCTATTGTGCTAAATAGATTAAAAACACGTAAGTATGGAACATCAAAACTCCTTTATATCTCCTGAAATTCGCTTTAATAAACTTTGAAGAGGATCTTACCAGAGGTTGAGATAAGGGAAAAATTATGGGCTTTCAACTTTCATTAGTCTATACAATATATCTTAGCAATGACTTCAGAATGCGAAATTATTTTCTGTCTTTGAGGTCGACTTTTACTTTTTATTAACATCATCACATCAAATAGCGACCCGCCCAGACTTCGCCTGGGTGGGATCTATTAATGTGACCTTATTTAGATTTAAGATAATAACCAAAGACCATTTATTTAATACATTTTAGTTTTTCGGATAAAATATATCCTAGGACACACCTAGTATTCATTGGACATTCATTCAGTTCGTGAAGTTTCATTACTATCGATTCAGCCATTCCAAAGATTAGCTCCAAAGACAGACATACAGACAAAAATTTTATAAAATGCTTATACATAGGCTGCACTAAAAGTATCGGGAATGGAATATTTCCACTGTTCCTGTCATATTAAAATCTTTTTAATTGAAAAGTCCTTGGTTTTAAAAATCGACTACCATTTATTTATTTAAAAAAAGATTCTCGGTCTTGTCACAAGGTTTTGTCAAACTTGTTTAGTCGTTGAGAAAATGGAATTGACTCGAGAAAATTCAAGAGCGATGATTTATTATGATTTTCGAAGTGGTTTAACACAAAAACAGTGTGTTGACCGATGATGTCTGCATTTAGTGATGAAGCCCCATCCAAAACCACAATTTATCGGTGGTTTGTTGAATTTCAACGTGGACGTGTCAAGCTCAGTGATGATCCCTGTCAAGATCGTCCAAAAACTGCAGTCACCCAAGAAAACGTTGATTCTGTGCGTAAGCTGATTGAGGAAGATTGACATGTGACATACCGCGAATTTCAGGCAACTTTAGACATTGGCATGAATCAAATACAAAATAATTAGGTGTAAAAAAGTTGTTTTCCCGATGGATACCGCATTCGCTCTGTGAAGAGCAAAAAACGGCTCGCGTTATTTGGTGCGTCAGAACTCTCGAAAGATTCCACGCAGGATCCTCAAATGCTGTATACACCATCGTATCAGGTGACGAATCCTGGATATACGCGTACGAACCCGAAACAAAAAACCAGTCACGAGTTTGGGTGTTCGAAAATGAGTTAAAGCCAACAAAAATTGTTCGTTCAACAAAAAGTGTTGCAAAAAAACGTTTGTCTCCAAAACCGGCCATGTTACGACTATTCCTCTTGATGGACAAAGAACGGTTAATGCAGAATGGTATGCTAGTATTTGTTTGCCACAGTTCGTTTCTGAAGTCCGTAAAGAGAACTACAACCGCCGCATCATCCTCCATCACGACAATGCGAGTTCTCACAAGCAAGAAAACATAGAATTATTAGACCATCCGCCGTACAGCCCCGACCTAAGCCCTAATGATTTCTATACTTTCCCTAAAATAAAGAATAAATTGCGTGGACAGAGATTTTCATCACCTGAAGAAGCTGTGGACGCCTACAAAACGGCCATTTTGGAGACCCCAACTTCCGAATGGAATGGTTGCTTCAATGATTGGTTCCATCGTATGGAAAAATGTGTCAAATTTCGCGGAGAATACTTCGAAAAGCAATAAATACATTTTTAAATAGTAATGTTGTGTCACTTCCTTGATTCCCGAAATTTCATCTCGTGATGGTATGCAAATAACCCCTCAGCTCTATGTATAATAGGTAGTTATTTCATAATTACAAGTGGGCTCTTCAATTTTATTTACATGTATAGATTAATTTTTACCCTTTTACGTGAACTAAGAAATTATAACAATCTCAATGTCGTTTATCTTCATTAAAAACTTCATACGCTATTTGTCACCCTTGGGGAGGAAAGTTTTTAACTAAAAGGACCATTCCAGAAATACAAGTACTTGTTAAAAATATCATCAAAGTCGGTTTACAATTAACGAAGAAATTAAATACAAAAAAAAAACATACAATCGAATGGAATTGCATCGAATTTATGCTTTCCTTCTTCATATAAACTTTAAAACTATACCAAATCTCACACTCCTCCGTGTGATGATGTGAATATGCTTAAAAAAGGGTAGAAAGTTCTCCCTTTACTTCTTAATATATTATATAGAAAAAGATTTCAAAAACGAATCAAGGAAGACAAAAGCAATAGTTTGAAAATTTGTTTGAACTCAATTTGAAAACAATTGTTTGAAAACTTGAATGTCGCATCTCCCGACGTTTTCGGCTGTTTCTTCATTTTTACATCTTTTCAATAGAGAAATCCTTTAACTTACATTTTACCTCAACTTTTTTATTATATCCTACCTACTTTTTGTAGTCTCAGTGTACGCTCTCAAACGAATTAATTCTGCTTATTATGCAAACAAGACGTGAACAACAATAACATTATAGATTATACACAGAAATAGCAAAAGTGTCGTCACGCTGTCAGAACAATTGGACAAAGGAATTTCTAGCACTACTGACATATCTACAACAATTAATACAAATTAAATACATTATCTACAACAATTTACAAAACATACAAAAATAAATCATCCTCTCTGTGGATTATGAGGGAGGAGGGTTTGGTTCCATCAAAACAGTGATATCAGATTGATTCTTTCCAGGACATTTCTTTCCTCCCTACAATTTATGGTTCCAGTCAGGTGCACTATGTCGGTTACATTGTTTATTTTTATAAAACAACAAATTAAAGTGACCAACGATACCGTCCACCTGATGGTAGGTAGGTAGGTACTGCAGTCGATGGACTCGACCGACTTTGATGAATTTTTTGTGTGTGTTTGAATGGGTCCCTAGACGGTTTAGATTCCTTAGTGATGAATAATACTATTCTATTACTTGACGATTTCAATATGAGTTCTATCACATGGACAATGCAACCGGACAATAAACAGTAATCATTTCCAAGTGACCATATTAATTCCCTCATTAAAAGTAGCAATTCAACGCCATCAAAAATAAAAGCAAAAAAGTTTTAGATTTGGTCTTATCCAACGTATTCTTCGATGTCACTGAAAGTCAATTTTCACTACGCAAATTACATAATTTGCACCCACCATTAAACATTACCAACACCTGCGGTCTGCAGCCGACTTCATACGAAGAGTAAAGACTACAAGATGCGTAGTCACTCTGAAGAATAAGATGGAATGTCTCACAGCATGCAATTATACTGGCTCTTTACACACCTCGGATCGGAATTCTAGTCCCTAGATGTTTTAGATTCACATTTGGACTCGATAGATGGCGCTGTAGTCGAGATCCAAAAGTCACCGCTAGAATAGTTAGTTAGTTAGTCGTTGTCAACAACCACCAAAATTGACGATAAAGTCCTTCATTCAGGTTAACGATATTTCTCGTCTTTCCAATCAGTGATTATGTGCAATCTTCATTTCCAACACTATCTAGCAACCCAGACGACAACGTGTAGCACTGAAATTAAAGACGTAACATCTTTACATAAGAAACATTTGTTATGGCTTTGACTTTGTGATATAAAAATATCAATAATTTTTGTCGTGTGGTGATGGTACAGTAGGATTTAAACAACAATCTTATCTCATAACTTGTGTGCCATAAAAGAACTACGTAGCTTATTTTACATTTATCATCATCATCATCATTTTTAAGTTCACACAAAGGTTACAGCAAACGTACACGTGCCCGTAGTTGCCACGTTTGGCAGACGGGTGCTCAAACGCAGTTTTTTATTATTTTGAAATGTTATCCAAAAGACGCTGCTGACCAATGTGTGCTGAGAAATTCTGCTTAGAGCTATAATATTACGCTGCAGCAAAAATGGGTCGGCTGGACCACAGATTAAATAATGTGGTCCGACAGAGTACGGGTAAGACCCAGACTGGCAGCGACAGTAAGCACCATGAAGCAAATTTGCTTCATGGGAAGCACCGTTAAAAGACGAGTACATATTCTGATCGCCAAGTTACTTTCTAAGCGTGGCGATTTCTACTGATATTTGTTACTGTGGGAATGTTACATTTCATATTTTCATGTTATTTACGGACAACCAAATAGCCCAATGCTTACCGTACTCGGGTACTATTATTTTATAGACCAGATTACCACTTGAAAATTAAATTTTTGATTCCATAGTCACGGCTTTTTAATGGAAAATCATGACTCTCGCCTCACCGTCGTTAACTTTAATACTTTCTCGGGGGAAAAAATTAAGCTGAATTCAAAGAACTCACTGCCGTCATCCTTTATCTGGATACACTGACCTACGCAACTAATTGAGTAATTACTTCGAAGGACTATATAATACAGCAAGTCATTACTAGAGGCAATCTTTAACAAAATGGCTTTCATTAGAGCGTGGTTTTGTTTTTCTTTAACACTAACATTCTTTACAATAAATGTGGATTGTTTATTTTTTAAATCGTCATCTGAAATCGGAATAAATGGTCTAAGAAAAGCACCAAGGTGTAAGTAATTGATTCTTCATAAAATTAGTTTTCAGTGTAGATATTTTTATTTTTACAACGATAATTTTGTAGTATTTTACATAAAATTTTTAGTACTGTTTAAATCCCAAATTTATATATGAGAAATTTTTTAAACATTAAATTGAATATTGTTTATAATATTATAAATAATATTCATTAACTATTTATCACCCACAAGTGTAGGTAATAGACGTACTAAGTATAATGAACAGTGTATTTCTAACAAAACCTGCGTAATGCTTTTTATTGTTAGTGACGAGAGCAGAGTACCATTTTACTGGTAATGCGGGAATGAGACAGTTCATTCATTAGGTGGCAATGCATCTGCATTATTATTCTTAAACGATGATAGATGTGAGTGTCAATACATCAAAGAGGCATTATCATGTAAGTTGTGTGCCCCTTTGTCACCTTGTTACTGAGAAATTAAATAATAATTTTCCACTTTTACTTATTGACCATTGACGACTAATTGAATTTATCACGCTGCACAGGGAACTTTCCTTTCCTGGGACTGGGTCTGAGATGTAACGGATGTCCGCCGCGGGGCTGCGAAGACGACGAGGCGATCATCCACGGTTACTGTTGCGGCTGCGCTTACCCATTGGGTAAATTAACTTTTATAACTTTTAAATTGTTTTAATCTCGTAAATTTCAACAACAAACTACTATAGCCACTAAAGAAGAATGTATGTAGATACAATGAAGTATTTAGCTGTCTTATGCTAAGTAACAAAATGTAACAAATCGTCGTTGACGCCGCAAAGGGGCGAACCTTAATTTTTCCAAAAAAGTTTTTTTAGTTTTCCGTTACGTCTAATATATCTAATTTTCTCATGAAAAAATAAATGTATTCTTACTCTCCTTTAATTTTTTGAAAAATTGAGGTTCGCCCCTTTGCGGCGTTAACGACGAAATGTGTGTTGATCAGACGATCCGCCATCCGCAGGAAATGAATATTCATTTGTTTATTACAGCCTATCAAAAACCCCACTGCTGAAAGAACATAGGCCTTCCCCATAGATTGTCTCATAGCACAGAGGGAGCCATTTGCCATAGTTGCCACGTTTTGCAGGCGAATTGGCAACCGCAGTTATTTTATTGAGATAGATGCCGCTGCCCATATTATACAAAGTACGTTATTTCACAAAATAATCATTAAATACTAAGTATTAAGTACTTACTCTTGATAAGAGTATTCTGTAATAAGTATCTCCTGAGGATATATTGGTAAACGTAAGATTTCTTTGTTTTAATTTCACTTTTTATCGTTTACATTTTCGTATATTGATTCACACTTTTGGTCCGTACTTACTTTATTACACTAGTTTCGTTCACACTATATAAGTAATTTGTCTTTTTTTCCTTTTTAAAATTGTTTTAAAATTGCAATTCTATATTTGTGTCATAATTTATTCCCTAATTTCACCATAATTAAACACATGCAGGCACACATTTGCTTTTATAAATTATCGCTTTATGTGGGTAAATTCACACTAATTAACATTTAAAGTTCAGCATACCTACTTCCAATTTTCGCAACTCCTTTAACATTTCTTAAATATAATAAAATAGGTAAGTAAAATATTATTAAGTACTAAAATAATGTACATAATAATATAGAAAAACAAATTATGTGAATTTATATATAATATTAGGATTACTTAGGATTTTCTTTAAAAGGAAACATTTATACAGAAGTTAGCAAAATTACATAACATCTTTTCATAAGATGATTAGTAAAATTTTATGAGTTTCATTTTAGTACATTTAACAACTTTTTAGACTGTTAACTGTTAGATTCTAAAACTCAAACAACACGCAAATACGAGAATAATAAACAGTCAAGGTAGCAGAAGCAAGATGAATAAAAAGGGTAGCATAGTGTACGGAAGCATTAATATTAATACAAATGGTGCCGTCTGCAAATGCTTCAAGATATAACATATTAATAGGTTTTAAGTGCTAATCTTTACGTGTCCTATAGTACGTCTTATAAAATAAAATCGGCCGTAAAACACAGCGTCAATTAGAAACATCTATTCAGACCACGAAAGCAACGATTTAATCTATACAAATAAATAAAATTGAAGTGTCTGTTTGTAATGTCAAAATTACAGCGTTTTACTAAATGCACATGAAAGTATAAGAGATACTTATAACAAAATACACTTTTTAAAATTTTTGGTTGTCCGTCTGTCTGTTTGTTCCGGCTAATCTCCGAAACGGCTGAACCGATTTTGACGGGACTTTCACTGGCAGATAGCTGATGTCATAAGGAGTAACTTAGGCTACTTTTATTTTAGAAAAATAATTAGGATTCCTCGCAAAAAATTAAAACCCTAAAATTACACGCGGGCGAAGTCGCGAGGAATAGCTAGTCTTGCATAAATGTGGAAACCACTTGGTTATCATATATACATCGAATCCAGGACCAGAAATTTAGTAGATACGTGTGCTATTAAGAAAAAAGTGTTATTCCGTTTATCCACCCTAAAAACAGTCACCCTAAGGTAAAAATTAGTTAAATAATAGGTCTTTACCTATGAAATTGCCGTTCTGCAGTACTGACCATTACAAATCAAAATAATTTTTGTTTGGCTTTTATTTTAAAAACGTGGAATTTTTTTTTCAAAATTAGTCATTTGTTTATTGATTAACGTTGTTTTCATCGCATTTGATTCTTTTTCGTCATCATGGATACGATAAAAATTTGAGTAATTATAGAATATGAGTACCGTCGTGGCGGCGGTTTGCCAGCTCTTGTTCTGGAACTTTCGACCTGAAAAATTAACCCTGTGGTCGTCCGAAAACTTTGGTCAACAGTAACGAATTAAGGGCGATTGTGGAAGCTGATAATACTCAATCTACGGCTGAGTTCACAACAGCTTTCGACGTTAGCATCAAAACAATATAGGTCCATTTGCGTCAAATTGGCAAGGTAAAAAAGCGCGAAGTAGGTACGCGTCGAGACGTGCCTTCCACTACTCAACAGAAATACAAACGAAGGAATTTTGAACCGCATTATTACTTGCGATGAAAAATTGATTCTATTTGACGATCGCAAGCGCTCAGCAAGTTGTTTTGGATCCTGGTTCGGCACCTAAACAATGCCCTAAACGAAAACTTACCCCTAGAAAAGTGATGGTCACTGTTTGGTGGTCTAGCGCCGGTGTGATTCATCACATCACGGGATGAGCATTACTGCAGATGTGTACTGTGAAAAACTGAACACAATGATGGAGAAGCTCGCACGTCTCCAACCAGCTTTGGTCAATCGCTCGTCCCCGTTGCTTCTGCACGACAACGCCCGACCTCATACTGCACAACAGACGGTCTCCAAGTTACAAGAGCTGGGGTTGGAAGCTCTTCGTCATCCAACTTGGAAGCTCTCTCCAGACCTTGCGCCTACTGACTTCTACTTTTTCCAGAATTTGGATAACTTTTTGGCGAGCAAAAATTCAATACCCGAGAGGCAGTAGCAAATGCTTTTAAATAATTTGTTGTCTCCCGTTCAGCCGATTTCTTCAAGAAGGGTGTCATTAGACTGCGTTGGTAAAGATGCATCGATTGCAATGGTGATTACTTTAACTTATTTCATAAAAAAAACGGCAATTTCATAGATAAGACTAATATATTCTTTATAATTAGTGCATTATGGTAGTATACATCTCAGGGTAGACTTTTTATGGTGGATAAACGGAATATCCCGAAAAAAACTTTTTTTACGTTTAATTATACATTATTGTATCACAATTATGACGAAGGTTACCAACAGCAATCCACGATATTTCAACAGTCAACTTTACCGGGCATGAACCACATGTGAAGTACCAACTTTCAAATAAAAAGAGAATCATCGAAATCGGTTCACCCAGTAAAAAGTTATGAGATAACACACATAAAAAAAATATACAGTCGAATTGAGTACCGTTTTCTTTTTGAATTCAGCATAAAATGGGAGGCAATGGATTTTGTTACTTAAGTACTATTATACTGACTTGTTAACTTATTATAAAAATATACCGTTCATTTCCCTTAGATAAGCTGCCGGTGCTGTGTCCGGAGTTTTTGCAGTGTCCACTCAACATGCACGGCCTTTGTCACGACTACGAGTACATGATGAGGTGTTGCTGTTAACTGATCCACTCTAAAACTCTAAATACGTAAAGTTAACACAGTTCAGAACGTAAAAATGTAGACAATGTGTGATATTAATTTTAATCCATTATATATGTTTCATAAGAATTTTATGAGATTTAATTGATCCAAAAGTATAATATTTTTTTATATAGTAAGAGGATACATAAACAATCACGAGATGCGCAGCAGTCTTCCTAATCTATACATATAAATAAAATTGAACTGCCTGTTTATAATGTCAAAATAACATATTTTTACTAAATGCATATAAAAGTATAAAATACATACATATAACAAAAAACAATTTTCAAATTTTTTATCTGTCTGTCTGTTTGTTCCGACTAATCTCCAAAATGGCCGAACTGATTTTGATGGGAATTTCACTGACAGATGTTAAAGGGATTAACTTAGGCTCGTAGATAGATACTAAGTCTATGCCTAGGCTACTTTTATTTTAGAAAAACAATTAAGGTTCCGCGCAAAAAATCAAAACCCATGAAATCCAACCGTAATAAATTCCACGCGGACGTAGTCGCGGGGCACAGATAGTAATGACTAAAAATAAAACACTGTGGTTGCCAACCCGCTTGCCAAGCGTGGCAGCTATGGCAAATATCGCTTCTATGAGGCAAGCTGTGGGGGAGGCCTGTGTTCAGCAGGGGATTTTAATAGCCTGTAGCGGTAACGATTAAGTATATTTATATGGTCCTATTCTCTGGATAAGGATACAATTTATTTTATTTTAAACTTTTATTTAAAACTAGCAAGCTGCTTAAATTTATAGTTTGTAAAATAATTAACTATACAGTATACTTACCGGGTTTTCCTTTATCTCCGAGCAATTTAGGTTTTTTTTAACAGTAATTTTAATTGAAATGTAACTCTAGCAATTTGCCAAAATTGCATATCTATATCTAATGCGAGTCGGAATGTTATTTAAATAAAATTAATCAGCTCAAGCGATATCATGCTGCTCATTTAAAAAAAACGTAACCAAAAAAAATTTAACTAATAAATATTTCAAAATAGACTTCAAGAACTAAACAGAATAAAATAGTTTCCACTTAGGTAATGGATCCTGAAGTCTGAGCTAACACATACTGTAACGAAGAACAAGCTTAAAACAGTAGCAAGCTGTGGAAGTGACTTAGGGTTTGAATTTTTTCTCTTTCAGAAGATTTTTTATTAGACGCAGTTGGGGGTTTTGTTGTGTTGTTATTCTTTATGCCTACCACTTTTACTTACGTTATTCTTTATATTTATCTATTTAATTAAATGCATCTACTCTCTTACGAAGCAATTTCACTTATAATAAATTATGTTTCTGTTTTGAGAAATATTTTTATTTTTATAAACCGTACCTTGAGAAGAACAAAGGCATAAGTGGTCTTATGTCGATTTGTTTGTTTTTACGCCATCAAAAAGAGCAACGTAAATTACAAAAGCGCAATTTTTTACAGATTTTTCTTATAAGTATTAAGGAAGTACCTTTGAAAAAAATAAATACCCTACACGTACAAAGCTTAAGAACTTTATAAACCTGAAGAAATATAATTATTAATTTAATAAACGTTTAAAAGTTGTTTTGACGAAAATTTTTAAATGTTGTAATACATGTAAACATTATAACATAAATTTTCCTTGTTCAAAATTATTTTACCCCACAAATTATCGCGATTACCACTATGTTATAAACTTATTTACAAATAAAAGCTCTTTGATTGTTGTCTTAATTTCTAAGCGTAACGTACGGCTTTGTTCCCCTAAAAATAAAACTGTCCTATTCACGTAAGCTCGCATACTTGTTTATACAGAATTGTTTTGAAAAACTGAGAATTGTTCTTCGAGATATATGGCTGGCCCATTGCAACTTCACCTTACTAATCCGTTGGGCTATGTCGGTCACTCTGGTTCTACTGCGAATATCTTCATTTCCAAGTTGATCACATAGAAACCCCGAGCAAAGTCCTCTCCATAGCTTACTGAGCAACCTTGAGCGTTCTTATACGGCCTGCAGTGAAGGACCACGTCTTAGATCCATAAGTCGTCAGGTTTTTTTTATTTTTTTTTTATAAAAACGTTACCCCCACACTAGGAATTTCTCCTGTATCATGGAAGCAGTTTACAAACACAAATTGCACAAGGACAAACATCCAGACCCAGAACAATTATTTGTACGCCATACAAATACTTGTTCCGTGTGGGATTCAAACCCGCAGCTCCCAGAGCAGCAACTCATTGCTAAGCCACTACGCCACGAAGCCGTCCGTTTTAAGGTATACCTGACAAGAAGATGTGTCGTAATTTCTGGAACGCTGCCGAGTCGAACTTTCGTCGAAGTTGAACTTACCTAGTCGAACTATTTGTTCCAGGTAAACATACCTAGTACTTAGTGCTCCCAACAACTACCGGCATAGGTGTGACACGGACATTAAACATGATCTTTGTTTTGTCCATGTTCATCTTAAGACCTATCCGTTGGGAGACACTATTGAGGCCATTGAGCAGGCTCGTTAGGTAGTGGTTAGGTTTAGGCCTCCAGCGATTCTGCCATAATGACTATATCGTCGGCATTTACTCGCTATTGATGTTAATACCGTATGCTTTCCAGTTCAGTAGCTTGAAAACGTCTTCCAATGCAGTGGTGAAGAGTTTCGGGGACTTAATATCACCCTGTCTTACACCTCTCTGCAGTTGGATAGCTTTCGAACTCTGATTTTGTACTCGGATAGCCATCGTAGGTTCGTAGCCCTACTGTCTAAACACTTCGGCACTTCCATATACCGCTAGTCAACTTGGCACCGCTGAAGGGACTGTAGCAGCCCAAATTTCAACAGAATCAAATGCTTTCTCATAGTCCACATACTCAAGGCAAAGTGGCAGATTATACTCTTCGGTCGTCTGTTACTTCTGTACAATTTGCCGAAGGGTGTGTATGTGGTCTGGAAGTCGTCGAGTGCGAGACGATTCGTAATGAATTTCTAAAACAGCACTTAGGTGCGGCTCAGAAGGGAAATTGGTCTCTAGTTCTTCAACAGAGCGTTGTCGCCTTTCTTGAAGCACGAGACCACCGCACTTTTGCTCCACGCCTTCGGAGTAGTCCCACCATAGAGGAAAGAATTAAAGAGCTTCTGAAGGACTTTAAATACCGGTTCTCCACCCGCTTGTACTTACACTGTTACCCAGTGTAATTCCTAATTTTTTAGACGTGGTAGAGCCAAGCTGCCGCTATATTTATAGTATACGAGGGCTGCACTAAAAGTATCGGGAATGGAATATTTCCACTGTTCCTGTCATATTAAATTTTTTTTAATTGAAAAGTTCTTGGTTTTAAAAATCGAATACCATTTATTTATTTAAAAAAAGATTCTCGGTCTTGTCACAAGGTTTTGTCAAATTTGTTTAGTCGTTGAGAAAATGGAATTGACTCGAGAAAATTCAAGAGCGATGATTTATTATGACTTTCGAAGTGGTTTAACACAAAAACAGTGTGTTGACCGGATGATTTCTGCATTTGGTGATGAAGCCCCATCCAAAACCACAATTTATCGCTGGTTTGCTAAATTTCAACGTGGACGTGTCAAGCTCAGTGATGATCCCCGTCAAGGTCGTCCAAAAACTGCAGTCACCCAAGAAAACGTTGATGCTGTGCGTAAGCTGATTGAGGAAGATCGACATGTGACATACCGCGAAATTCAGGCAACTTTAGACATTGGCATGAGTCAAATACAAATAATCTTGCATGAACAATTAGGTGTAAAAAAGTTGTTTCCCCGAACCGCATTCGCTCTGTGAAGAGCAAAAAGCGGCTCGCGTTACTTGGTGCGTCAGAACTCTCGAAAGATTCCACGCAGGATCCTCAAATTCTGTATACAACATCGTATCAGGTGACGAATCCTGGATATATGCGTACGAACCCGAAACAAAAAACCAGTCACGAGTTTGGGTGTTCGAAAATTAGTTAAAGCTAACAAAAATTGTTCGTTCACGGTAAAAAAAAAATGGTGGCCACGTTTGTCTCCAAAACCGGCCATGTTACGACTATTCCTCTTGAGGGACAAAGAACGGTTAATGCAGAATGGTATGCTAGCATTTGTTTGCCACAGGTCGTTTCTGAACTCCGTAAAGAAAACTGCAACCGCCGCATCATCCTGCATCACGACAATGCGAGTTCTCACATCGCACACAGAACAAAAGAGTTTTTAGAGCAAGAAAACATAGAATTATTAGACCATCCTCCGTACAGCCCCGACCTAAGCCCTAATGATTTCTATACTTTCCCTAAAATAAAGAATAAATTGCGTGGACAGAGATTTTCATCACCTGAAGAAGCTGTGGACGCCTACAAAACGGCCATTTTGGAGACCCCAACTTCCGAATGGAATGGTTGCTTCAATGATTGGTTCCATCGTATGGAAAAATGTGTCAAATTTCCCGGAGAATACTTCGAAAAGCAATAAATACATTTTTAAATAGTAATGTTGTGTCACTTCCTTGATTCCCGAAATTTTCAGTGCCGCCCTCGTATTTGTAGCACGAATGGGTCCGCTCGACCGGGGAAGGACCACGCTCTCACAGAATACCAACGTAAAATAGCAGCTTAATGCTACGTTGGTTTAGTCGTCGTGAACGCCATTGCTGATCACGAGGTTCCGGGTTCGAATCACTGGTCGGGCCAAAATCAGTTTTGGGTATTACTGTTAAAAAATTCCCAGTAGCAGCCCAGAGTCAGACAGTTGGTGGGTTTTCACTCCTGCACGAAGCACGTAAAGCCGATGGTCCTGTGCCTAATCTTTCTCTGGTCGTGTCGGATTACCGTCCCATTGGACTATGACAGTGAAGGAATAGAGTGCATCTATGCTTGTGCATACACTTGGTTCCTGTGCTGCGCGCGTAGATTTTTACGTGGTAGAGCCATATTGCAGCTATATTAGTAGTATAGTTGTAGCACGAATGGGTCGGCTCGACCGGGGAAGGACCACGCTCTCACATAATACCAGCGTAAAATAGCAGTTTAACACTGCTGTGTTTCGTATGGTGAGTGTAGAGAACCGGAGACCCTTTTTACTGGAAAAGAGGCATTCCATCTTAGTCCTCAAGGCTGACAACACATCTGCATTTTGATTCGCTAACGAGTATGTCTATGGGCCACAGCATCCACTTACCATCAGGTGAACTGGGTGCTCGTTTGTTACCCTATTCTATAAAAATAAAATATAAGCCCAAATTCCGTGTAATTTATTTCCTAACCAGCTTATATGGGCGCCCCCATGAATCCCGAGCTTGTCTTGGGCTTTCAGATTTCGGAGGCACTCCCTGTAGACCTCGTACAACTTCTATAGAATCATTCCGGTACTGCCTTCTCCTAAGCAGAGCACTTTCTGGCTGCCTTCTACAATACTAAGTGTACCAGCGTCGCTCCTCCATGCAACCATGCAACTATCGCGCAGAGTTGCGATTTCTCGAGTCCACCAGTTCAGAGGAGGTTGAGGTTTAGCCCGGGGCAGTTAAGTTCATTACCGATTCGTTGCGGCACCAATTTTTGACAACTTTTAGCTGTGGCGGCGAACAAATATTTCAGGACACGCCGGGCGTGTCAAGCGCCACAGACAAAAATGACAACAAATGACACTCCTATTGTGCCATCCGCCATGTGTAAAAGTAATGTTCATTTTATGCTTTTTTTTTACTTTTTTAGACCTAATTAAGTTTATTTGACATCAAACATAAGTTACAAATGGAAGGATACTTGTTTTTAGTGGGTAACTACATGTTTTTTTACGCGTTTTCTTTGAAATTGAGAGAAAGTGACTTTTTTTATGAAGAGATTACAAACCTTTTGTTGTTATAAAAAAATCATTTATATAAGTAGGTACAGCTAAATCACCCTGGAAACCTTGGTTTTTTTTAAAATTATATTTTCACCTAATAATAACATTTGTAAATATCAAACAATCAAGAACCTTAATTTGAAAAAAAAATAAGGTATATCATTCATTGATATTTACAAATGTTAAGTATTATTTAATGTTATACAAATGTAAAAGTAAAGTCGATCTGAAAACGTCTAATTAGTAAGAATAGCAAAACAAGTGTTTTCAAAAGGAAAAAAACGCCGGCGCTATACGGCGGCGGATTGACAAAAGACTATTTATTAGCGAACTTTTTTTATGCATGAACGGTTTCGAACTATTTCAAGCAAAAATAAACCTCATACCATATCACAAGAGCACATGGTACTTCGTAGGTTTATTCGGCCATATGATAGTAATATGACGGCAGTTCAAGCATTTTAAGCAAAATTAAACAATGAGACAAACGCATTGTTTTTTTTTAACAGGAGACTTGTTTTCCAGAAATTTATTTACAACTTGAGTTTGTGAGCGATCGCAATGAGTGCTATTATTTGTTACTTATTAGACAATTTTTCCATAACATGATTTAAAACCCACAAAGTAAAAATAGTACCATGTACACGTTAAAAAAAGGTTGTCAACCCCTAACAATTTCAAATTTTCAAAATATCCAGAAACGAAGCTGCATGCATGAACTACTCGCAAAATAATGAATATTTTGTTCTGGATACATTTTCCAAAAAAGCAATTTGAGCGAGTCATACGCCACATACAAATGTAATTGATGGCACGCCTGGCGTGTTACCCGCACTGAACCGGTTAAATGATCGTGAAAACTGCACGAAAATCCATCAAGTAGTTTTAAGATAACCACAGAATGGGGTATTATTGTCACAATCACTGTGACTGCCCACACAGTCGTGCATCCTACATATTATTTGTATTGTCATCTGTCCGAGAAGGAGGTTGAAACAGTAGCAGCTGCCGCTATTTTATTTAACTAGTTTATAATATAACCATTCTTTAAATGTACACTTTAAAATAATGGTGAAAAAAAAGGAAGCCAATAAGGTGAACACCGAAATAGAACAAGGTAAGCAGGTAAGGTTGTAGGGCATCGGCGATCATGTGGACGCGCGCACGATCATGGCCGAACTTCCTTTGATGTTTGTTCGAAAAACCGACACAGCGGCCATTACGCTCGATCATGAGCAATTATAGGCGATTATGCCCTCTATACGATCGTGATCGCTAGTACTCGTTCATCATGGCCGATGGTGCATAGGCCCCATGACATTTAAATTTTACACACCGAATATCGGTAAGACATGTTGATTCTAATAACACAACATATATCTCACACGTTTTAGTAAATAAAAAATCTTATTTTATCTTAAGGTATATTCCTACAACAAGAAGTTTCATGTACATCAGTAGACTTACTGACTTATGATCTGATAATGAAGAAGAATGTAGCAAATAATAAAATATATGTATAAGATAACATCGCACAGTGTCCAAAATAAAACATCTTTTAAATAGCATACTGTTTTAATTTCTAAGAAACCCTCATTACAGAATAACAATGGGTTAGCGGATTGATTTAAGTAGGTGAACTTAACTCTCGACATAATAGTATAAAAATAACGACTTGAGTAAATAACATTATAAGATTGCGAGACAATAAAATAATCTATATCCAAATACAATACTCCAAATATCTCTGTGTGTGCTACATTAGTACGAGTGAGTACGAAACATGTTACCGATATTTGAACCTCTGGATCATTGTATTTTTGCCAATCTATCACATGCTTCCGCTGTGACATGTGTAGGTATTTTTATTTGTCTTTTAAAACTATGTTCCCTTTTCCAATCGAATCGACAGCCACTAAATTTCTATATATCAGCCTAAAATCCCTAAGGCAAATATGCTATATCTACAATTTTGTGTTAAAAAGTCGCGAACTTGGAAGTCTAACACAAAATTTCGAACAGCACAAGCCCAGAACTTTCGAAGTTATACAAGTATATATAAGGAATAACACTCAGTGCAGAGAGAAATTTCCTATGTATAGTACCGTGGTGTGAAACAAAGTGACAAAGCTGAATTAAAAATTAAAAAAATAAGCCTAGTTTAATAAATGGACAGCACTGAGAGGATTTCGCGAATGTTCGATTCAATTTACATTTAACTACGAACTATCGCGAGTTGCCTACGCGTCACTCCGTCTTCATACAACACTCGGTCGATTGCTTGTGTGTACATGTTCCTCGCAGTTGGATCGCATTGAATGATCCCCATTTTGGAATACAGCACAAAATTAACCTAATATATTCATTATATATATATAAACATGTATAAACATACACCCATCCATTTCACTTCGTTTCTTTTAACTAACGATATATCGGACAATAGCAACTTAGGAGAAGTTAGCTTACGACGTAACGTAATGGCGCCCCGATTGCGCCGAAAACTTTGTTACTTTAAATTAATCATTTATTTATAATAAGGATGCGATCGTGAAACGTTTTGTGGTAATTGTATTTGTTATTTTTCGGGTGTGGCGGCCGGCGCCTGCGACATCTACTTGCTCTGCGTCTCGCCGCCAGCCTGACAAACAAACATACCTTAGTATAAAGGATAGTAAATTAACAGTCCAAAGGGCTGTATTAGAAGGGGGAAAGGGGGGGGGGCTATTATTCATAATTCAGGCAAATACAGCCATTTTATTAGTACGATTAAACTAGGGGTTAGTAGCTAGTAGGTTAACATAAATTATTTAACTCAGTGTTTTTACTGTAGTAAGGGTGACAAATGAACACACCTACTTCATGGTAAGTGGATACTGTGGCCCATTATCACCAACCTCTATGTTTTGTTAAGAATCAAAATGCAGATGCGTACCTCCTCTGAGTACTAAGATTGTCTTATCTTCATTTAATTATTCATTAATTCATTACAGACTAATAAAGATTACTGCTGGACATAGGTTTCCCCCATATTATGTTGTTTCATAGAGGGGATATTTGCCATAGCTGCCACACTAGACAGGTAGGATGGCAAATAAGTCTCCTTTCATTTGGAGTAATATAATAAGTATATCCTTCACTTTCCTGTAGGCTGTGCTAGTTCAATCCCATAATACAGAAGCAACCCAATTACAAATCCTGCTAGCAGCACTGTATTTTTTATTGGCAATTTTAAATTGATACCAACAGGCAATCTCACTTGATCACGACAGATATACAAATATGTGTAGAAGGCGAGGTGCAACAGTACAGCAGAAATATACATATGTACAGGAGGACCTTTCAGTGCCAACGGGACGGTCCCAGTTGTTTTCGACTTATAGCTAGGGAGAAGATGAAACAGTACCAAGAAGGCGATCAGCAGTAGGACTTCCCCATCTTGACAGGGAGGTCCCAGCCGATTGTGACGCAGCACGCGGCTGTAGGGAAGCGAAATGAGACAGTGCGAAGGGGGCATTCAGCAGCAGGACTACTTCCCGGTGTCGATGAGGCAGTCCCAGTTGATCGCGACCTATAACTGTGACGAGGGGGTGGGGAACAGTACCGTGGGGGCATTCAGCAGCAGGAGGATTTCCCGGTGTCGACGGGACGTCCCTGGTCAATTTTGACGGCAGCCCCGGGCGGCGCACCGGCAGACGGCGGGCCAACACGCGCCTTGATCTCCGCCGCCATTGTCATGAAAGCTTGTTCCACGTTGGTCGAGTTCTTCGCCGACGTCTCCAGGAACGGTATGCCCAGCTGCTCGGCGTATTGCTGTAATGAGATGTAAGTTAAATAATAATGTCTGATAATTTATATAATGTAATAATTTTAATTTATATATTGGTTATGAAGAGTTATACAGCTCAAAGAACTGACAACCAATGTGGAAGATAAGTTTCGAGTGGCAGCTTTGAATAGACACAGGTGTAGGAGAACCTCTCACCAGAACGAGTGTAACGTTTTGAATCAAACCAAGCTTTGTATCTGCTGGCCTAAGTTCAGCAATGGACATGTGATGGGCTGGAATGAAGAAGATGAGGATATTAAGACTCCAAGAAAAAATGTTTTGCTACTGTATAGCTCAGTAGAAAGTAATTGCGAGTCACAATGGTACATCACCCTTCTGCTTAGGAGTCCATCTAAGTGATATAATCTATCATTATCATCATCATTACAGTCTTATGTCTACCGCTGAACATAAATCTCTACAAAGAATGCCACAAAACATGGTCCTGAGCCACCTGACATTGACATGAGGACATCCACTCTATACTTAGCTTATTGGTATGAGGTTGCCACTTGAGAAACCTTCCACATCAGTTTTCTGTTCTTCAAGCTGTATGGCCAGCCCATTGCCACTTTTATGCCTAACCCATAGCTCACTAAGCGATCTTAAGCTTCCTCATACAGCCCAACAATATACATAATCACTTACTTAAGCACTGGTTGTATATTTTGTACATACATATAACTTTCAATATTTAAATCATTTAGCAAAACAAACATCTATCTGCTTAAGAATTGTCAAGTAACTTGCAGTATATGTCGAGAGACAGGCCTAGGGATGACAATGATATCTCTCTTTTGAACATCAAAATCCATTAAATATAGTCATAGGATACAAAACAATATTTACGTACATTAGCTGTGGTATAGTCGACAACTTTCTTAGTGGTGAGATCACACTTGTTTCCAACAAGCAGCTTGTTCACATTGTCACATGCATAACGGTCAATCTCCTCTAGCCATTGTTTCACGTTACTGAATGAGTCCTGAAAACCAATAAAAAATGTTAAAGCTTCTGAGATATTTAGTTTTACAACATAGGCAACCTAAAACACCATTCATCAACCTGAATCTTTCAAAAGTATTATGTGTAAACAAATTATTTGAATATGTGATAGTACAAGAATTAATGTGTTGGATGAGTTTATTTTTCTTTGTTTGCTCACAAATTTTTTTTTTATAGAATAGGGTGACAAACAAGCATAGTCCACCTGATGGTAAGTGGTTGCTGTGACCCATAGACATCTACATCTATCCACAATAAAGAATCAAAATGCAGATGCGTCGTCACGTGTGAGGACTAAGATGTAATGCCTCCTTTCCAGTAAAAAGGGTCTCTGGTTCTCTACACTCACCATACGAAACACAGCAGTGTTAAGTTGTTATCTACAGACTTCAAAAAGGAGACGGTACTCAATTTGACTGTATGTTTTTTTTTATGTGTGTTACCTCATAACTTTTCACTGGGCGAACCAAATTCGATGATTCTTTTTTAATTGAAAGCAGTTGCTTCTCATGTGGTCCCATATAAATTCGATCAAGGTCTGACCAACAGTTTTTGAGGTATTCTTAATAATTTATATTGAAGTCGGTTGTACAAAATTTTTAATTTTTAATTATTTTATTCTGTGAGTGTGGTCCTACCGCGGTCAAGCCGATCCATTCGTGCTACAACTATAATATAGCTGCAGCATGGCTCTACCACGTAAAAATTTTTTTATGGGTTCACAGTATAATGCCATATAGTGAATGTTATATTTTTTTGTTATCTACCTCTATCTCTCACAGCCATCATCATGCAATTTGTTGTGTTTATCTCTTCAAATAAAATTAAGTAAGATCCAAGAAACAGGAAAAGAAAAGGCCTACGCTAAGCACTAAAACCATGAAGCTTGCAGAATGCTGATGATTTATATATTTAAATCTGAATTACAACTGATAGCTTGCTTTAAGTAAGTCTATACAAGTACCAAAACATTAAAAATCACTGTATTAGACATCAATATTTACTTAATATATTTATACAAATAAATAAAATTGAAGTGTCTGTTTCTAATGTCAAAATAACAGTTTTTTACTAAATGTATATATGGGTACTTGTAACAAAAATTCAATTTGTTAAATTCTTCTGTCTGTCTATCTGTCTGTTTATCCCAGCTAATCTCTGAAATAGCTGGACTATGGACAGATAGATGATTATATAAGCCGTATCTTAAGCTACATTTATTTTAGAAAAAAAAAACTAGGGTTTCACACAAAAACAAAATTAGAACCTATGAAGTAATAAATTCCATGCGGTCGAAGTCGTGGGGAACAGCTAGTTTTAAATATGTGTACTGTGGGTGTATCCTAATTGAAAATAAATAAAGTTAAGCCATATAAATAGAACAATTTAAAAATAATGTGATGTATAAAAAATCACTCCCATATCATTAAACAAAATATGTGCCAATTTTAATGTCTTAAACAACAGTAATTATAATAATAACAGCATAGTAAGTGTTTTATGATCTCAATTCATGTTTTTTCTATAGGAAAGGGGGCAAACGAGCATACGGCTCACCTGAGGTAAGTGAATACCACCGCCCATGAGTAACTGCAACACCAAGGGAATTGCAGGTGCGTTGCCGACCTTAAGGTCCCTGTCATATCGGTCCAAAAAAATTGCCAGTGGTAAGCTACTTCACAGAGAAGTCGTACGCGAAAGAAAACTTCTAATGAAACATATACAGTGGTGGACTGCCAAGCATCCAGATGGTGTGGATGTTATTGGGAGTTTTGCTGCAGTGTGCGTTTGTGAAATTTTGCAGCTAGGATTAATCCGAACAATTCCTCAGAGCACTCCCCATGGTAAATGCGAAAGAAAATGCAAAGAGATGCAACATCTCTTCATAGTGCCAGTGAATCGAGTCGATCGGAAAGGACTCGGTCGTCGATGATTCGTCGAGTGGAAGGAGCTGGCACTGGGGAGCCCCAGTCCAGAAATGGGAACAGTAATCCATGTGAGACAGAACCTGCGCCTTGTAAAGTTGCAGGCGGTATACCGGCATGAAATGATGTCCAGAATGCAAAGCATTTTAATAGTAAACTTAGCACTGTGTAATTTCATATAGGAATTTTTCTTCTTCTTTAGATTTTTTTTATACGATAAGGGTGACAAACGAGCACACAGTCCACCTGATGGTAAGTGGTTGCTGCGGCCCATAGACATCTACATCTATCCTCTATTACAAATCAAAATGTAGATGCGTTGTCACCCGTTAGGACTAAGATGGAATGCCTCCTTTCCAGTAAAAAGGGTCTCTGGTTCTCTACACTCACCATACGAAACACAGCAGTGTTAAGTTGTTATCTACAGACTTCAAAAAGGAGACGGTACTCAATTTGACTGTATGTTTTTTTTTATGTGTGTTACCTCATAACTTTTCACTGGGCGAACCAAATTCAATGATTCTTTTTTAATTGAAAGCAGTTGCTTCTCATGTGGTCCCATATAAATTCGATCAAGGTCTGACCAACAGTTTTTGAGGTATTCTTAATAATTTATATTGAAGTCGGTTGTACAAAATTTTTAATTATTTTATTCTGTGAGTGTGGTCCTACCGCGGTCAAGCCGATCCATTCGTGCTACAACTATAATATAGCTGCAGCATGGCTCTACCAATACCAATACCAAGATAGATTTATAATCTAGTTTGTTAATTTAAATTAACAAAGTTCACTTGGCATTAACATATATATGTGAGTGATTGTTGGAGTGGACCATCACTAGATGGAGTGACAACCTGGTAAGAGATGCTGGAATTAAGGATGCTGGTGGCTTAGGTATGTGCTTTGTGGCATTCCTTAGGGCAGGCCTATGTACAGCTGTGGACTTGTAAAATGTTGTAATGATGATGATGGTAATGGTAATGATAATACCAATATGAGCATCACAAATAAATATTTCATTTCATGCATCCCTGAATGTTTTTCACTTGGTACCTAATCATTGCCCCTTTTATTTCAACCGACTTCAAAAAGGAGGAGGTTCGCAATTCGTCGCAATATTTTTTTATGTATGTTCACAGATTAGTCAAAGAAGACTGAACAGATTTGGAAAATTCTTTTTTGTTTCAAAGGGTAATCCCAGGTGGTCCCATATAAATTTGATCATGGTCTGACCAGTAGTTTTTAAGTTAATAATATTTAACTCAAAAATTAATCATTTATATAGAAGTTGGTTGTACAATTTTTTTTTTTAATTTTACCACATGTACAGTTTAACTTTCTATTTTATGTTACTTAGAAATAAGCGTAAAGGAAGGTTTCAATAAGAACATTTGTAAAATTGATTGTCATTATAATATGTCAAGCGGCAAAAAGATTAACCAACTTTATCATCACACAGCAAACTATTATTTAGTGTAACTATTACATATTATAATTTTTTTGTTGAGATGTAAATAATATATCTATTTGTTTTTAATATATTATAAAACACCTGTATTTTATGATGATACCAATCAGCTAATGATAAGGATTAAAATAGTAAAAATTAAATTTTAAACAAAAAAAAAATACAAACACACAGATATAGTGAGGTGGCAGCATATGAACCATCATCTCATTTCATTTTGTGGGTTTAGTAAGATGCGATAATGGGAAATGAATTATTTTCTGAATTGCACTATATGTCAAGCATATATGTCAAGTATATAGCAAGTGTTAGTAATAGCCAAACTAAGATGACTTAGTTTGGTGTGCTATTTGAATGTGACAAAGAATACAATTGATGCAATTTAAAAAAATCATATGTGATATGTTGTTTGAAATTTAACTCAAAACTATTTAAAAAGTATAGAAAAATATCTATACAGATCTTCACTTTTCAGAATTAATCTAGATCAACTTATAAGTTATTGAGCGGAAGAGGTATTTCTTGTTAAACTTTAAATAACAAGGACATTGGTTTTTGTTTTATCTTATAGTATCAAGGTCAACACAAATGGTAGAACTAAACTTAACAACTTAAACAAAGAAAAATTAAACGATAAATGGTATACAAAAAGTAACACAACACAAAATGTAGTAAGTAAAACATGATGATGAATTCATAAATAAGTAACTTCATATATTTATTAAATTATAACATAATACATATTATGTATGCAGCCTTCCATTTTTGGTGGTTAAGATTTTCTGGAACCCGATTTTTAGGTGGTTCATTGAGTCCAAGAACAAAAATATCAAATTCAAGAAAGTATAGTGTCCTTGCAAAGATGTGGCGGTACTTTACACTGCAACTACTGCTCACTCTATATAAAGTGCAAGTCCGGTTTTGAAAGGAGTATTGCTGCTATAAATGGTAAGGGCTGGTGCTGCAAAATGCCACATTGCAACTATAAATTGAAAGGAAAGGTGTGCTAAAAAGCAAATTGGTGACCAGAATATGGTGAAAGCCAATCTTACCCAAGCAATACTCAACAGGATTGACTGACAGAATGCCAAAAGGTATTAAGTCCACCCTTTGTAATCTTTTTATTAAGGTGTTTTACAATAAAGTGTAAAGTGTAAATAAATAAATATATTTCAGTGAGCACACGAATAGCATGGACATAATTTCTCCCTTTCCCTTTCACCATTGAACGCCAAGATGCTCTGCAACTTTCCACCCCTTTTTTTGAGAACATACCATGCATTCAATAATCAAAGGGTTTAATTTGTCATTAATAATTCTAAAGGAGTGGAATAATATGCCAGCATCTGTCTTTCCATATGCAATGTGTGTCTTCAAGGCAAGAGTGAAAAGGCTTTTGTTCAGCTTAGTCAGTACACTTTAATTAATTCATTTACACTTAACATCATTAACACTTACCATCAGGTCGAATAGTAGCTAAGCAATGGCTTAAAACATTGAAAAACCTTAATAGTAACTATTGAAAATTAAAGATGTTATAAGCCAACAAAACAAGCTCAGTTAGCAACTTTTAAATTTAGTACAATACTTGTTATTTAAGTTTATACTTTTAATTTAAATATTATAATTCTTATTTCTTCAAAATAAGGGATTGTGTTCTATGTTTATATAGAATACAGTATCTTATTATGAAGAAATACAGTAACATTTTCACTTACTTCTGTTTCAAATTAAAAAGCTATGTATCCCTTTTTTATTCTGATTTAACTACTTTTATCATATTGATTTTGAAGGATTGTGGTGGCTGCATAAGGGACTCCATCATTCTATTTTGTATCATGGGTTTGGAAAATTATGGGAAATTATCTAATAAGATCAAATTCTATTTCACTCATATCACTAAGCAGATTAAGATCCTTAAAAAATAATAATACCAGTTACAACTATATCATTACCTGATCTGTGCAGTCGTAAACAATGATGATTCCGTGTGCCCCTCTGTAATATGATGAAGTGATAGTTCTAAACCGTTCTTGTCCTGCTGTGTCCCATATTTGTAACTTTATTGTCTTCCCATCCAACTCTACAGTTCTTATTTTAAAATCCACACCTATAGTGCTAATGTAACTTTCTGTGTATGTGTCATCAGCAAATCTGAGTAGAAGACAAGACTTGCCCACACCTGAATCGCCGATGAGGAGTAGTTTAAACAAATAATCGCTGAAAAGAGCAGAATATTTCTTATTGGACAAACAAAATAAATCGACTGTCCGCATACGTTTCTATCTAATACGTAAATAAACAAGGGAATGACATAAATATTCTAGGCGAAAATATTAGATAATAAATATTTTGAGCTCATCAAGGAGGCGTATCTTTGTTAGACTAAACAAAGAAGATTACAATCGTTTGATGTATTTATACAGAAACTTTCACAACAAAGGAAGTACAGTGCCTTTGTACATTGGTCGATTAAACATACGCCATTCATGATGATTTTATACGATTACGTTCCAATATTATAGTAGTCTGAACGACGAACCTAATGAGTCACCAGATCTACTTCCTAAATATTTGAGAATTACCTCGGCAAGTACAAATTCATAGTTTACGAAAGTACATTTCTATTTATATGTACGATAACGTTTGAGCTATATAAGCAAAATTACAAATTTTTAGCCCATCCTTGATTTACAAGACCATCATTGAAAAAAGTAGTACTTACTATTCTGGATTCATTATTACTAAATAAATATGTTCCAACCAAAATAATAGCTTAATAGAAGATATAGAAAATAGTTAATTTCTTTGTTTCGAAAATAGTTCAATCCGAAACAGCAAAAAATTACAATAAAATATAATACGTAGAATAATGGCGGACGACACTGAAACACCCACACTGACGTAAGTCAGAAATTCACTTTATGGCAGGAGTGCCACTTGGCAAATATTAAACTGCGTTCCAAATTTAGCTTTTGGCAGATAGCAATGTTTTTTTTCTGCTACTAGGACGACGACTACTGGAATGACGTGAAATATATGACAGATCTCGTGACGGTGACGTTACATTATTAGAAAAGTGTAAAAATGAACGTTTCATAATAGTAAAATTTTTTATTAGTCAAATTAGAAATGGATGAACCAAAACTAAAAGTAGAAGAATAAAAAAAAAATTTAAAATGTTTTATACGTGGTAGAGCCATGCTGCAGCTATATTAATATTACAGTTGTAGCACGAATGAGTCGGCTCGACCGGGGAAGGACCACGCTCTCACAGAATACCAGCGTAAAATAGCAGCTTAACGCTGCTGTGTTTCGTATGGTGAGTGTAGAGAACCGGAGACCCATTTTACTGGAAAAGAGTAATTCCATCTTATTCTTAGTCCTCACGGGTGGCGACGTATCTGCATTTTCATTCTTTATTGAGGATAAATGTAGATGTCTATGGGTCACAGTAACCACTTACCATCAGGTGGACTGTGTCCTCGTTTGTCACCCTATCCTATAAAAAAAATGTGTGAAAAATTAAAATGCACACCACTGAAGATTTGTTGTTATTGAGATAATAAAGTTCTTCTTAAACCGTAAATAAACTAGTAACCGAAAACCTTTCATTTAAAAGTCAACTTTTCAATTGTGATGGTACTATATGATCATCTGTCTGGCAAATGCGTTCGCGTTCACTTCAGCCCCAATTAACGAAGAGTTCTATGTATACTACAAGATGGGCTCTACGGACTTAATCCAATGCGCACTACTTTACGTCAAGTCTCCGTAACTAATTTACTCAACTGCGAGCGAGCGAGATAATAAAAACTCGCTGCCCGCGGTTCATTAAAATGGGGAAACAGAACACCGCTTGTTGCGCTCTTTGTCGCACTTACGGGCTTACGGCAGGCATAGTGACGCACCACTGTCGTTTCCATGTATACGTCATAAAAAAGTAAAGAATGCAAAATAAAAATAAAAACAATTCAATAATTACTTTTATTATTGGTCAAAATACATATTTAGACTAAATAAAATGAATAAAAAGTTAAAATAGGTTGTTCGGATAGAATGATCTATATAAGAGCGAGCGTAAGTGTCAATGCGTATGCATGTGTGAGTCCGTGTAATATTTAAAATCATAATTTGTTGAATCAGTTGCAAATAAATCATCAAGTAGTAAACACGTCTCTCTGTTAACAAATCCCTATAAAATCAAAGGTGAACCTTAATACCAAAAACATATTGGTCGAAATCAAGCCGGATTTCAATTCGACTTACGATGTTCCTGCACCGCGCGATAATACAAAAGGACGGGTCGAGCGACGAGCTTAGAACAAAAGAAGACGTTTGCGTAAACAAGTTTTTATGCACGTTTAATGCACCATATGGCATCGAGTTGTAGATTGGAAAGAAATAAGTTATTATAAGACGGAAATAAGAAGCATTCGAGATTATAGACGATTTTAAGATAATTTTAACAACTTATACCGAAAATGCCTAGTACACCGGAACAAATACTAAATGTGTTAGAAGATACAGCTATATTGTTAGGAAAAACTCAAGCAAATTTAAAGAAATGTCCGAAACAACGCCTAACAAGGGGTTACATAGAAACACGTATAAAAAGCGTTGAAGAATACTGGTCTACGTATAAAAGGGCACATGAAGAACTAGTGAAGTGTGTTCCAAAACCGAAACGACAAGATATTCCGTATTTCGTTAATGAAGAATATTTTATTCAGGAAGATTTATACATTTGTATACTAGCCGATCTTAATGATTTATTATTTTCGCTTAACAAGTTATCGTCTTCAGCACCTATACAAGTCGATAATAATAATTCGGGTTCTTCTAATGAAGTGCATGTCAAGTTACCAAGGATTCAACTTCCAACTTTCTCGGGAATCTACGATGAGTGGCCTGCTTATCAAGATTTGTTTACATCATTAGTGCATAGTAACACATCATTAAGTAACGTACAAAGGTTGCATTATTTGAAAGGCAGTCTTACGGGAGAAGCCATGTCACTTTTGAAACACGTTCAAGTCATCGATGCTAATTATGAAGAGTCGTGGAACATGCTTAAAGAGTGTTTTGGCAACAAGCGGATTATCATTAATTCAATATTAAAAAGATTGTTTACGCAAAGAAAAATTAGTGTACAAACGGCAAGTAACCTCAAATCTATTTTGGATACTACAACTGAATGCCTGAATGCGTTAAAAAACCTTGGTCTGTCAACGAGCTCCTGGGACCCCCTCATTATATTTTTAGTTGTACAAAAATTGGACCCAGAGACTCACCGTGATTGGGAGGAAGATGCTTATAAGGATAATGCTGAAAACTTACCTACATGGGACGCGCTCAATAAGTTTTTACAATTAAAATTCCGCACTCTTGAGCTTGTCACGCCACCAACTAGGGAAAGACCAACAAATAGAGGAAAGGAGTATGCTGTTCACTTATCCACGAGTACTAATGATACTGCGACTTCTACGAAACTAAGAGTTTGCCCTATGTGCAACGAAAATCACACATTGTGTCACTGTGAGGAATTCATCAAGCTAAGCCCAACAGAGAGATGTGATTACATAAAGAAACACAATCTGTGCTTTAATTGTCTGGCCCCTGGTCACGCTGCGCGACGATGTCGCCTGAAGATGTCCTGTAGAACATGTCATAAACGTCATCACACGCTCACGCACCATTTCACGCCTATGACGTCATCAAGACAGCTAGACAGTTATAACAATCAAGACAAACAAAACGACGTTGAAGATCACCGAGCTTCTGCACAATCAGCCGAATCCAATGTCACACTTTCATCACATGTCGCCTCTAAGGTGTCCACTGCATTGCTGGCTACGGCACTCATACCAGTAAAAGGATACGAATCGAAACAAGTGACAGTGTTGCGCGCGTTAATTGACCATGGCTCACAGGCTACGTTCATGAGTGAAAGAGCAGCCCAGATGTTACGATTAAGGAGAACGCCTGTCAATGGCACTATCACTGGCGTTGGCTCTACTAAAACAAACGTTAAATATGCTGCAGAAATCGAACTTCTATCAAGACACGACCCAAACTTCAACATAAGGATCAAAACATATATAATGTCAACGCAACTGACAACCCAACTGCCGACTCAAACTATCTCCACCAGCACCTGGCCGCACCTACAAGGACTTGTATTGGCTGACCCAAGCTATAATCAACCAGGACGAGTAGACCTATTACTAGGGGTCGATGTGTGTGCTCAAATAATGAAAAGCGAAGTTATCAAGGGACCCCCAGGAACACCTTGTGCTCAAAATACGACCCTGGGTTGGATTCTTTTTGGGAGCGTGGAGGACAAACCAGCCGATAAATTGATTGTTATGCACCATAAACTTGACCTAAACGATATGCTCAAACGAATGTGGGAACAAGATGCATACGACAAAGTAGTACCTACAGCAGATGATCGAAGGTGCGAGGAAATCTACGAAAATACAACCACAAGAAATAATGACGGACGTTATATTGTGACTCTACCCAAAAAAACTAAAATGCTAATATCAACCCAAGGAAACACGCGAACAATAGCTCTGCAGAGACTCTATCAATTAGAACAAAGATTCAAGAAAAATCCAAAACTAAAAAACGATTATGCTACGGTTATGAAAGATTACGAAACAAATTACATGGAAGAGGTACCCGGACACGAGATGACTAACCCATCGGTATACCTACCACATCATGCTGTTGTTAAGGAAGAAAAGGAAACTACAAAAATAAGAACAGTTTTTAACGCATCACAAAGAGGAAACAACAACATCTCACTTAACGACGAGCTGTTGGTGGGACCGCAGCTACAAGGAGACATGAGAAGTCTCATAATGAGATGGCGGATGAAAAGAATCTGCTTTGTAGCGGATATACAAAAAATGTATCTCCAAATCATGGTTACGAGAGAAGACCAAGACCTGCAACGAGTACTCTGGAGATATGATGATCAAGATCCTGTCAAAGACTACCGACTTACCAGGGTCACGTTCGGAACTGCTTCTGCTCCTTACTTGGCAGTAAGGACCTTGCACCAAGTAGCTCATGACGAAGGCCAAAATCATCCTGAAGCAGCAGAAATAATAAAGAGGGATTACTTCATGGATGATATGATGTCTGGGAAAGACAACCTCACCGATGCTGTCAGAATAGCCAAAGACATAGACGCCATACTGCAAAAGGGAGGCTTCAAATTAAAAAAATGGTGTTCTAATGACGCAGACTTCCTAAAGGAATTTGAAGAGTCTGAAAGAAGTTCTCATGTAAAACTAGACATAACATTAGACGGGATGATACGAGCATTAGGACTACACTGGAATATTGGCAAAGATCTATTTCAATACAGCTTAAACCTATCTGCAACGGCAAATATAATTACAAAGAGAACAATCCTGGGTGACCTACAGAGATTATTTGATCCACTGGGCTGGTTGGCACCATCTGTCTTACCCGTCAAACTTCTGATTCAAAGATTATGGCTGCAAGGAGTAGCATGGGATGAGGAGGTGGACGAAACGATTGCTGCAGAATGGAACAATATACGAGATTCCTTTCGTATGTACCTACCAGATATCGAAGTAAACAGATGGCTAAATACTACTGAAGCCACAATAAATAATGTTACTATCCACGGATTCTGTGATGCATCATCTCGAGCTTACGCTGCAGTGGCTTACCTAAGAGTAAGAACAGAAAGAGGTGAAGTGAAGACAACAATCATCGCTGCTAAAACCAAGGTTGCACCTACAAAACCACAATCCCTACCTCGTCTAGAACTAAGTGGCGCTGTACTGCTTGCTGGTCTTTTAAACCAGATAAAGGAATCAATGAACGTACCTGCCTGCCAGATATTTGCTTGGACTGACTCAACCATTGTACTCTCCTGGTTGTTTGGTGATCCTGCAAGATGGAGCACTTACGTAAGAAACAGAGTTGTTGAAATACTTGACACCATCGGCAATCATAATTGGTACCATGTCAAATCACCAGAAAACCCAGCTGACTCTGCTTCACGAGGGCAATCCTTGCAAGAGCTAAAAATGATGAACGGTGGTGGAAAGGCCCAGAGTGGCTGCGAGTAGGGGAAATACAATACAGCAGACCCAATACTATCTGGACAGACCTGGAAAGAAAGAAATCGATACATGTAAATTTGAAATTAGACAAAGAGAAGAGTATTAGTACAAAATTTGAGGATTGTGACAAGTTGCAAGAATTGCTTAAGATGATTATATACTCTAAAAGATTCTTAAAGGGAAAGAAAATGGAATACAAAGACTTACCTGTGACCACGACGGAACTTAATGATGCGCTAAAAACCTGCATAAAAATAACTCAGAAGGACAGCTTCGAAGAGGAAATACAGCACCTGAAATCAAGGGAACAAATTAGAAGAGCCAGTAAACTAAAGAGTTTAAAGCCTTACCTGGACGATGATAACATCCTCAGGGTGGGCGGCCGACTGCGTCACTCGGACCTAAATGAAGACTGCAAAAATCCAATTATTCTGGATCACGACACTCATCTTACCTCTCTTCTCGTTGCTGACGCACACTCTAAGACGCTACACGGTGGAGTTCAAGTAATGCTCTGCTTTCTGCGAACAAGATTCTGGATCCTAAGAGCTAGAATATTAGTAAAGGCAAAGATAAGAAAATGCCTTATTTGTGCAAAACTTAACGCTACAGCAAGATCACAACTAATGGGGGACTTACCGCGAGTTCGAGTCACACCAGCTAAACCCTTCTTAAACACCGGCATGGATTTTGCCGGCCCGTTCCATATCTTGATATCTAGAGGAAGAGGAGCAAGGACAAACAAAGCATACATTGCTCTCTTTGTCTGTATGTCGACGAAAGCGATTCACTTAGAATTAGTGGGAGATCTTACCTCAGATGCCTTCATCGGAGCCTTCAGAAGATTCGTAGCTAGACGTGGAAGATGCGCTCACATCTGGAGTGACCAAGGACGTAACTTTGTTGGGGCAAACAGGATACTCGCAGCAGAATGGGCTGAAGCCAGGCTTCAACTTGAGGGTCCGATTGCGGAGACGCTAGCAATGGATGGGACTGAATGGCATTTTATTCCCGCCTATAGCCCACACATGGGTGGACTGTGGGAGGCGGGAATCAAATCGATGAAAAACCATTTAAAACGGATAATGACCTCTCACGTAACTTACGAAGAAATGAGCACCTTGTTATGCCAGATTGAAGCTTGCCTCAACTCACGACCGCTTACCGTATTAAGGGACACAGACACAGACAACATCCAACCATTAACGCCTGGCCATTTCCTTGTCGGTGAGACGCCTATTACGGTTCCAACACCAGACTTCCAAAACATCCCAACAAGTCACTTATCAAGATGGCAATACCAACAAAGATTGTTGACGGACTTCTGGCGTCGATGGCAACAAGAATACCTGTTGAGAATGCAACAGTGTCCAAAATGGCAGAGGAAGTTCAAGGAATTTGACATAGGTCAAATTGTCCTCGTAAAATCAGATAGTTTGCCCCCAGGTAAATGGATGATGGGACGTATTGTAAAAAAACATCCGGGTGCTGACGGTGTCACTCGTGTGTACAGTGTAAAGAGTGGTGCTAGTGTCGTGCAAAGATCTGTAAATAAGCTGTGTTATTTACCAATAGACATTGAATAATGATTTATTTTATTATAACTAAGGCAAATTGTGTATATCCATATTCTATATTATGTATTGTTTAACTAATTTTGTACTGATCTTTGAATCTATTGTAACCAAACGATTATACTGTTTGATAATTAATTTATTAAAGGGCTCATAGGCCCTTTGGTGGGCGGTATGTTCGGATAGAATGATCTATATAAGAGCGAGCGTAAGTGTCAATGCGTATGCATGTGTGAGTCCGTGTAATATTTAAAATCATAATTTGTTGAATCAGTTGCAAATAAATCATCAAGTAGTAAACACGTCTCTCTGTTAACAAATCCCTATAAAATCAAAAGTGAACCTTAATACCAAAAACATAGGTATACAATAATTAATCCTCGTCCGAGTTACAGTCACTGTCGCTGTCGTCACCTATGCTAAGGACAAGGCGCTCACATAAATGTGCTATTTGCACATGGCGTGTAGAACACATTTTCGCCAATTTTCTACAGTTACATTTGCAATGGCTATGTGAATTAATCGCTCCTTGTCAAAAATTTGGAACGTGGTGGTTTTGCTCGCCACTCCTCCCATCTATCGGATTTTATTGGCAATTATATGGTGGCAGGCGGATAACTTCGTGGCACCATTCATTTGCCAATCGATCTAAATTGATCCACAAGTCCACTGCTGAATATAATGTATCCGGGCGATGTCTTTTTACTTCCCACTTTGCAAGTAATCCGTGAGAGCTTCTGACTCTGAAAATGGAATAAATTCCTGTCTGAGCCAGTTCAGTATCTTACATTCCTTAGATGTCGATGTACGTACACGGATTACTTGCAGTGTGTAGTAGCTGGCGTCGTTCATTATAATAATTGACGACCCTTCTAAAATAGTCAGTAATCGGGTGAACCTCTCTGTGAAACATTTGGCGTAAATTTTAGAGTGGTAATCTTCATTTTTACTTTACATTGCTTGAAATACCCATTTGGCGGTCGGTAAAAATCCATAATTTGCAAATTAGGAATCAATAAGCGATTATATATAAGCGACGCACTGCACGCGTCTGTCCCTAGCGCACCGATTATTTATGGCACCGCGGGTAGTTTAGCATAGTTAACATAGTTTGTTTTGTAAATCGCGAACATTATTTTTGACAATCTCGTCAATCCAATGATTTTGTTTAATGTGACTAAGAAAACGCTGTCATTATTTATTTTGTGACACAGTTTTTGTTCAGTCACAGGTCTAAGGCCGCGTTTCCATCTGCAAGAACACTCGCGGAAGTCTTGTATAAGTTTCTTGCAATACTGTTACATATCGTATGAATTCTTGCAATTTTTTCTTCTCTCGCCTATCTAATACCTATTTATATTTTATATATGTTATAAAATGTTTTGATGGGGAAATAAAAAACGGGGACACAGAGTACATAATGACTGCTTTATTTCTCATAAAAGTATTACTTCTGACAATTACAAGCATTTAATAATTAAATACATTATAGAAGTTTATTTTAACATTCGACCTAAATATGAATGTAAACTATGATTATTAAAGCGGAAAAAATTATTCGAGCATAGACATTTACGGCATACATTATTACAATTCGCTTATGTTGTCAGCATTGTTTGTCATAAATTAAAAGTCATGTCTTGAAATTGGTAGAGTAGCTTGGCGCCCGTTCATACATTTACTTTGTCTTAGGAAGTCCCGCCTATTAAGCATAGTAATTATCACAGAGTACTTTTTATATACGTAATTATATTCTCTTTGTGTTCGATTGTTCGATCATAAATACAACTATTAGCCACAAACTGCGTAAATATTTCTTATTAGTTTGTGGCCACAAACTATGGACTTTGATGAAGCCTTGTAGTCATAGAGTATAGGAACGTACGAGTAAACTAGTTTAATGTACACAATATTTATTACATAAGATTATAACTTACTTTTAACTTACTGTTAACTTTGATTAAGACTTTAGTGATTATAAATTTTATATTAGGTACTTAACTGTGTCCAGCAATTGCTCGTGCGTCGATTTAATATGCGGCTCCGACGGAATATCAGCGCTGCGGTAACTCTGTCAACTATCAACTACTCTACTTCTTATTAGTTTGTATTAACTGTATTATTATACTGCCTCGGTGGCCTTTTTGTTACTGCACTCATTTTTTTTTATTTTTTAATATTTAGGTAAGTATTTTTTTGTTTGTAAAATTGATGTTCTGAAAGTTGCAGCAATAAATAAAAATGCTTTTCTCTTTTAATTTATTCTCTTACGCTGCCGCTCCATGGCATTATCAAGATCCTGCTTTCACTTTATGATTTCGAAGTATTTTCCTTCAAGCAGATATAGCTTTCACGATGGTTCTTATTTTCCGCTGAGCAAGTTTTAAATCAGCATATAAATTGGGATTATAAATGGGATACAACTCGCTTATGTACAGTAAAACTGTCAAGACTTAGTATTCATACATCACTAAGTATTAGTTTTGAATATCAGCGGCACGAATATTTGTAATGTAATATAATCATCATCACTTGTGATAGAAAACAATTCACTTGATTAGTCGAGTTATAATAACTCTAACCCATTTTTAGATTTATGATAAAGAAATAAAAAAAAACAAAAACGAGTATATTGATGTCGAATAGTGCTAACATTGAGAACGAAATCACTATAGATTAAAGACTTCATGTCTTGTACAGTCCGTACGGATAAAGAATGGGATTAGAAATGGCGGCTCATCGAGCCCGTACCGTCTACATGCATAGTACCAATAGCGAGTACCTGTTAATAACGGTATATCGTTATAACGTTATATTATTGGGTTAATTGAATTTTTTTTCTATTAGTAGGAAAATATTTGAAAATAATTGTAAACGCAAGTAGGTAAATTAATTTTATAATAACATTTATAACTAGCGACCAGTTCTGACTTCGCCTGTGTCAGATCTATTAATATGACGTTATTTAGATTTAAGATAATTATTAATGACCATTTATGTTATCTTATCAATATTTCTATTTTAATAGTCTCTAAATTATTCGGATAAAATATAACTCCTGGTATTGCTCTCTATTTGTTCGTGAAGTTTCATTACAATCTGTTCGGTATTTCCGATGATTTGGTCTGACAACATTTGGTTTGACGGCTCCGTGGCACAGTGGCTTAGCAATCAGTTGTTACGCTGGGGCCGCGGGTTCGAATCCCGCACGAAACAAGTATTTGTATGGCCTACAAATAATTGTTCCGGGTCTGGATGTTTGTCCTTGTGCAATTTATGTTTGTTAACTGCCTCCACGACACAGGAGAAAATCCTAGTGTGGGGGTGACGTTTTTAAAAAAAAAAAGAAAAAATATTTTATACAAAAATATTAACAAACAAAATCAACAATAATTATGAAGAAAACTCTCAGAACGCGTCGTAGCTCACAAATTAGATTAAGGCTGGGAATACACGTCAGATTTTGTTTCCGATTGTCTGATCAGACTGATCGTATTTACTCGATACACATACGATTCATGCGCCAGACTTTTTCTGAACTCAGTCGTTGTCGCTTGCTTGCATACGTTACTTCATTACTGATAAGACAATTAATTACAAATGTTTAGAAAATGAAATTACTTAGGTATATAATATTCTTTGCGAATCTCTCAAATTCTAAATTAAAAATAAACTGAGAAAATTATCTATGATAATTATTATGACAATACAATGACATATAATCTATTTTATATTTGTAATTAAATATAATAATTACACAATTATTATTTCAATTATTCATAATAGGAATTGTTGTAGGTAGTCACTAATAAATTAGAAGTATAATGTTGTAAAAGTAAAGAGAGACTACCCTCGTAATAAAATTGCATATCATGTATGGTGTAAACAAGGCAATAAAGAAGTCTTAGCATACGTGACGTTTTACTTAAACTATAAAACAATATAACATGGTGTCAGGTGTGGTAAATTCGTGGTAAATTTGTGGTAAATAAGGACTTGAATTAATGAGAAGTTGAATGAAAGTAAATAAATCAGTTTCGTATTATTGTCTATAATAAAACTGGTAAGCAATGCCTTATAGTAAAGAGGAAAGTATGACGTATGCTTCGTTACAACAACCGCTGCCACTAGCACAGGAGGGCAACTTGGCAACGAATTGGCGAGAGTGGAAATCAGCATTTGACTATTTCCTAATTGCTTCGGGAAGAGAAACGGCATCTTCTAGAGAGAAGTGTGCATTATTTATGCATGTTATCGGCAAACAAGGACGTGAAATATATGAGGAGCTTGACATCAGTGAAGTGGAAAGTCATGACTACAACACATTGTGTCAAAAGTTTAATGAGCACTGTGACCCAAAAACAAATATTAATTATGAAAGGCATGTATTTTTTGAAAGTTATCAAAATGAACAAAACTTCGAAAAGTTTTTGGGATCTCTGAAAATAAAAGCTAAAAATTGTGAATTTGGATCTTTAAAAAACAGTCTTATTTTGATACAGCTGATTCGTGGCCTGAACGATGGGCAAATGAGAGAAAAACTTTTGTCTAAAGCGACCCTAACGCTAGAAGAGGCAAGTGGATGGTGCAGAGCAGCAGAAAGGGCTGGCGAGCAAGCAGCAGCGTGCAGTTCACGACAAACATGTGTAAGTAATACCGTGGAATACATGCAGTCAAGATACAAGTGCATGCGGAACAAAACCACATTGAGGAATGTGAGCAATCCTATACGTGATCAAGACCGTCAGCGAACTACTCATGATTTTCGTTATAAACGCGACGAGAAATCGATGAACGTTGGCTATCATACTAGGAATAAATTACGGGGTAATAATAACAATTGCAATAAGTGTAATTTAGGACATGGTGTTCGTGTTAAGTGCCCGGCCTATGCAGTAAAATGTTACCGATGTGATAAAGTAAGTCATTATGCAAAGTGTTGTCGCGCGCGTTTTGCACGGGAAGTGTTGGACGCTGACGGCACGGGTAATGGTATTCATGATGAGGAGGATTGTAGTGAGCACAGTGATGTAGACAATGGTGAGTTGTTAATGTATAATATATCTATCGAGGCTTCAGATAACTCTCGAGAGTCATGGTATTCTAATATTAAAGTAAATGGAGTAATTGTAAAGTTTAAGTTAGATAGTGGCGCAGACGCTTCGGTTATGTCGCTAAATTGTTACCAAAAAGCTGGCTTTGATATAAAAAAATTAAAAAAATGTAATATTGTTTTACGAGAAATAAGTAAGAAAAGATTACCTGTTGTTGGTTATTTTAAGGCTCTACTTCAAAGTAATAAATACAGCATTTTTCAAAATGTTTATGTATTGAATGTAAATTGCAATAACTTATTGAGTTTGAAGGCATGTGTTAGTTTAAAATTGTTAACCAGAATCAATAATTTAACACTGAGTAATGTAAATATTGATGAGGATGTATTTGAGGGTCTAGGTTGTTTGCCTTTTTCATGTAAAATTATCACAGATTCAAAGGTTCCGCCGGTAGTAAATGGAGTACGAAAAATACCAATAAAATTGCGTCCTAGATTGAAAGAAGAGTTAAATAAAATGGAAGAGCTTGGTGTTATTAAAAAAGAAGAGGGCCCGACTGACTGGGTTTCCAATATTGTTGTTATCGAAAAACCTGACAGGTCCTTGCGTATTTGTTTGGATCCTAAAAACTTGAATAAGGCGGTAAAACGGAGTCACTTTCAGTTGCCAACATTGGAAGACATTACGAGTAATTTGTCTGGAGCAAAAGTGTTTTCAAAATGTGATGCAAAAAAGGGTTTTTATATGATGCGTTTGGACGAGGATAGTTCTAAACTATGTACGTTCTCTACACCGTATGGTCGATATCGTTTCTTGAGAATGCCATTTGGAATTTCTTGTGCGCCTGAAATGTTCCATAATGAAATGTGTAAAATATTTAAAATGGTGGGAGTGGAAGTGTTTTGTGACGATTTGCTGATTTGGGGTCAAAATCAAAAAGAACATGACGATAGATTAGCGGAGGTTATACGTAGAGCAAAAGAAAATGGTGTCAAATTCAACAAACAAAAATGTGTGTTTGGTGCAAAACAAATAACGTTTATGGGGCATACGTTTGATGAAAATGGTATTAGACCAAATAATACTAGAATAGAGGCAATTTTAAAAATGGCAACACCAACATGTAGAAAGGGGGTTGAACGGTTTTTGGGAATTACTAATTATTTGTCGAGGTTCATTCCAAAATATTCAAAGATATCAGCCCCATTAAGAGAACTATTAAATAAAAAAATAGAGTTTGAGTGGCTTCAAGTACATGAACAGGCTTTTAATCTCCTCAAATCAAAAATAAGCAGTGCCCCGGTTTTGAATTATTATTCGCCAAAGAAGCCAATCACAGTATCAGTCGATGCAAGCTCACACGGCCTTGGAGCGTGTCTTCTTCAAGAGGGGCGGCCGGTCGCATACGCATCGCGCACCCTCACACCTACAGAGACGCGTTGGGCGCAAATCGAAAAGGAGTTACTTGCTGTGGTTTTTGGATGTACACGATTCCATTTTTACATTTATGGACATAGTAATGTGACTGTGGAGAGTGACCACAAGCCGCTCGAAGCTATATTTAAGAAGCCGCTGAATGATACTCCAGCACGACTTCAACGGTTGCTATTGAAATTGCAACACTACCCTATTAATTTACAGTATAAACCAGGAAAATTACTATTTATAGCAGATACTCTATCGAGATCGGCTACGCAAAAGGGCCAAGATGATTTAAGCGACAAGGTTATGATACACGAGAATATGACGTTTGAAAACGTTGAAGCGTCGATGGATATGTTGCAGAGAATAAAAAAGGAAACTCACAACGATCCAGTCATGATAGCACTGGGGGAGTATTATCAAAAAGGATGGCCTTTTAATAAAAAGCAAGTCTCTGAACTTGTAAAACCCTACTGGAATGTACACAATGAGTTACATATGATTAGAGGAGTCTTATTTAGAAATAATCGTATTGTTATACCCCTGTCCTTACGGAAAGAAATGCTGCGCCGTATACACGAAGGGCATTTAGGGGTTGAAAAATGTCAACGTCGTGCACGCGATGTAATGTGGTGGCCGGGTATGTCGGCAGATATTACGTGTGTTGTGCAGGGGTGTGATACGTGCCAGCGACATCAAGCCGCTGCGTCGCGCCAGCCTCTTGCGCCGCATCCAGTGCCTACACTACCTTGGGAACATTTAGCTGCTGACATTTTTGAGTTCGGAGGAAAACAGTATCTATTGATAGTTGATTATTATTCTAAATTTGTAGAAATCTCTTTACTAACGAATTTACAAAGCAAGACAGTAATTAATGTTATGAAGGGCATATTCAGTAGATTTGGCATACCTAAAAAGATTGTGACTGACAACGGGACACAGTTCACATCAGATGATTTTAAAATTTTTAGTAAGGCTTGGGGGTTTGAACATGTTACCAGCTCTCCTCATTACCCAAGATCCAATGGACTCGCGGAGAGAAACGTTAGGACCGTAAAATCAATATTAATTAAGTCACACGAAACAGGTGAAGATTGGCAACTGGCGCTTCTTAATTTTAGGAATACACCAATTACCGGAGAGAAGTATTCGCCTGCTCAGCTCTTAATGAGCCGTAGGCTTAATACTAGGTTACCTGTTCACCAAGATGTTCTACGTCCGAAAACCGTCAACGCTCGCTTAGTAAAGGAAAATCGATTAAAGAAATGTGATAAAGTAAAAGAGTATTATAACAAGGGTACTAAACCATTAACATCACTAAAACCGGGTGAAACGGTACGAATGAGGGATAAAAAAACATGGGAAAAAGCTAAAGTTATGGCTAGAGCACGTGGTGAGCGTTCGTATTGGCTAGAAACTAAAAATGGACGAGTTTTGCGCCGTAACAGGCAGCATATTATGAAGTTACCGACCAAATTAACGGCGTTGGATCGTCGCTGTAAGGCAAAAACACATCAAAGAAATGTGAGTAAGCAATTAGACTGGGATGATTTCAAAGATACTGAGACAAATTTACTACCGCACGGAACTAGCGAACGATCGCCACCGCCAGTGAATGAGCGGTTTTCGCCCATATATATCACTCGAAGTGGGAGAGTTGTTCGCCGTCCAGAACGCTTTGAGATTAATAATTAATGGTAAAACATCATAGTTATATTAATGGCATATCTGCTGTGACAGATATATTAATTCATTATGCCAACTAAAAAAAAAAAAAAAAATTACTGTTACGTTATTTTATTATACGATTTTATTACATGAAGTATCCTATCTTAGTTTTCTATTATTATTATTAAATATTACATGATTTTTAGGCTTCCTAATTCTAGAGTTAGGTATATAATATACAGGGTGTTTTTGGAACGCTCCCGAAAACTAAGACAGGCGACAACACCAAGTATACCTTTGATCATGGGTCACAAATAAATTCGATCCTGATGAAAAAAAAATCATCTTTTTACAAGGTTTTATTAGCTTTATTCACGCGCCATCATGTTAGTACAGCTAAATGAAACGATAATTTCATAAAAAATATCATGAAAATACTGAAACATAAAACCAGCAGTGGAATGACTGAATTGATATCACCTGACCTGAGCTAGATAAAGGTCAATGTACGCGCGAACACAAATTCACGCGGCCCGCAACTAGCGGGCCTTCCCACAATACCTAATAATTTACAACACGTGTCTAAATACCTAACTTATCTACTTAACCTACTATTTTGCCACTGTGCTTATCTCCACGTAGCCACTTTAATCCGAATTTACAGGTTAAATAACCCAAATAACTGGTTCGATTCCCCGCTAATGAAGAAATACTTAAATGAAATGTAACCAAGGTTGGAGTCATGCGTTTTTATTCATCGTGTAGGTATGTTTATTATTCTCGTGTATTCAGTTATGTACCTATTCAGATTAGTCTAGTACTAAGTTATTTAAAAAAAAATAGTTATGAAACAGCTTACTGCTCTAAATCCTCCGTGGTCTTATGAGATGCGGCTCAAATTGTGCTCCATTCATTTCAAGGCAGACTTGGGTGCAGGCGGGGCATCATCGTGTGGTCTTCGACACAGTCCGTACGTAGTTTCTCGAAAGCATCCACGATCCTTTGGCGCATTTCTTCAGCACTATCACATTCACGATTAAAAACCCTTTCTTTCACATACCCCACAAAAAGAAGTCTAACGGAGTCAGATCTGGTGAGCGAGGTGGGCAAGCGTGTGGTCCTAGTCTGCCGATCCAGCGATCATCAAATAGCTCATTGAGGCGCTCACGGACGAACCTCACGAAATGTGGAGGGGCACCATCATGTTGGAACTATGTGCGGCGATATTCAGCCAACGATAGGTCGTTTAAAATGTCAACCAACTGTTCATTTATAAAGTTTAGGTATCGCTGTCCGTTCAGTCGCTCTGGCAGAAACACTGGTCCCAGTATGCGATCCTTAAATAAACCTGTCCATACGTTAACCGACCATCGGGTTTGGTGCCCGGTTTGTCGAACAGCGTGCGGGTTAACCTCTGAATACACGTGTGTATTTCTTCGGTTCCACAGGCCGTTTCTGGTAAATGTCGACTCATCCGTCCAGATAATGTGATCAATGGAACCAGGCACACGTTGTTGCTGATATAATAACCAACGGCAGTATAATAACCACTATAAACGTACGCGTTAGGCATTATTAAAACAAAAAAGAATCCAAAAACGTAACAAAAACTTTAATATCAACACGTAATCACAAGTAAATTTATTAAACAAAACGATTGAACTGTCGCTCGCGCACGCGTGTACAAAATCAACACCTGAAACCTACTGCGTCACAAGCGTGAGGCGACAGGTCGACAGCGGAGTGAGTGTGGGTACAGTCGCGTCCTAAAGTACTACATGGTATTGGGCTATTGTTTTATAATATTATAGTAATTAATTGTTTTATTGTAGAATCATAATAGGTGTTTTACTAGCTACTTAGAACTTTGGAAGAGGTGGGAATTAAAAATAGATAATGTTTACTTGAGCATTGTTTGTTATTTCTATCGTAAAATATAAAGTAGTTTGTAACAAAAAAACTTAAGCTAAGGGTGACACGCCGTCCATTGTGACGTCTTGGGTCACATGGAAGCCAGATGTTGATGGTGTGTTGGTGTTACTGGATGCTACTTCATCATCACTTTCATCTTCGCTTGAGCTTCCGTCATCAGGTCGATCACATGGTAATTTTTTCGGTATTCTTCCTCAACAATTTTAACTTTACTGCACAATTTTCCCCATCCACTGTTTCGTTCACTAGTTTAGTCATAAAACAATAGATATAAATAATTTTTTTTCCTTCCTTTTTAAAACATCGTCGCGAGTCGCAAAGTAAGCTGTGTATGCGACTGTATTTTTGGAGCGAACAAAGCGCGGGAACCAATAGCATGCAGGCACAGTAATACTGGCCAATATGTGATAAATCGCTCAGTGCCCAAGTTCAAGGCCAGCGTTCTTTTTTCACCGTTCGCGCGTACATTAACCTCCATTAGTCAGGTGATATCAATTCAGTTTCCACTGCTGGTTTTATGTTTCAGTCTTTTCATGATTTTTTTTATGAAATTATCGTTTCATTTAGCTGTACTAACATGATGACGCGTGAATAAAGCTAATAAAACGTTGTAAAAATATGTTTTTTTTTCCATCAGGATCAAATTTATTTATGACCCATGATCAAAGGTATACTTGGTGCTGTCGCCTGTCTTAGTTTTCGGGAGCGTTCCAAAAATACCCTGTATTTTTATTTTGCACACAGTACAATTACATTTCAATATAATAATTAGAACAAATCATCAAATAATTATCATTTCAATAATTTTCTTTAACAATGAAGTTACATAAAGGTGATTTTTTTGTTATTTGCATGAAATTGTATCGAAGCATGGTTACAATATTTATAAATAAATAAAACAAAAACAAGAATGTGGTCGAGTTTGTAACATTATTTCTTCAGTATTAACAAGGAAGAAATTGATTATTCACAATGTATTCATAATGTAACAATGACTGATCCATAGTTATAAGCAATGTGTTAAAAGTCGCATGCAAAACTTATCATAACACATTAATATAAGGAGAAAATGAAGGTTATAATGAAGACATATCCTAGTATCATATGTCTTCTCCAGATAATATTTATTATGTAACTATATAATAATTGTGTATTATTTGCTAATACTTTTTCTTGATAATAAAAGGGAGATGTTGTAGGTAGTCACTAATAAATTAGAAGTATAATGTTGTAAAAGTAAAGAGAGACTACCCTCGTAATAAAATTGCATATCATGTATGGTGTAAACAAGGCAATAAAGAAGTCTTAGCATACGTGACGTTTTACTTAAACTATAAAACAATATAACAGGAATTATTTAACCATCACTGATAACATTTTTATAGTATGAGGTACAATTATAAAAAAAAAAAAAATTATTTACATATTTTCTTTCTCTTTTCAACGTCCATAGAAACTCATGCTTCTTCCAATATTTCGTTATACACGTCTTCCCAAGCCAAATCTTTCATCTTCATCGTGATACCTTTCACTGCCTGTATCCCATAAGCAAGTTAGTTTTTCTACGGCCATAATAAGCCGTTCGATATCGTAATTTTCCGCCATCATCCGAACCACAACGATGCGATGCGTCCTTTCAGTTTCTCGCTAGAGAGCTAGAGAGTCAACTGGCAAGTCGGAAGGAGGAATCGGACGTCTATTTGGTCTCTGTACAAAAGTATGCAGACGGCACCTTCAGACTATCGGATCGGCAATAAAAGCGTAAATGCCTTGGCGCTATTTCCGAATCGGACGTTCGATCCGACTATCGGATCGGACGTCTGATCAGACAATCGGGTCGGACTGTCGGATGAAAAAATCTGACGTGTTTTACCGGCCTTAATGTATTTTATTAATTTGTCATTTGTTTACGATTTGGCGGCAAATTTAACGCGAGAAAATTTTCGTACAATGATTTTATAATGACTGATGTCATTTAAGTCAACAAGAAAGTTATGATAGACTTCGATTGGCCTTTCACGATGAAGCCCCATCACGTGCCACTGTTTACAACTGGTGTAATGAGTTTAAACGTGGTCGCACTATTCTCACCGATGATCTGCGTGAGGGACGGCCTCCTACGGCAACGACTAAGGATAACATCAGTGTTGTGCGGCTTATGATAGAGACTGACAAAAGAGTGATTTTTCAACAGATTCGGACAAGCTAAGGCATCGGTATAAGTCAAGTGTACAAAATCCTCCATGAACATTTAACGGTCAGGAAGCATTGTGCCCGGTGGATACCTCATAATTTGCCAGACGCCCAAAAACTCCATCATGTTGAATGGTGTCGTGAAATGGTTCAAAGATTTAACGGAGTTACGGAGGTGACTCAAATGATGTGTTCGACATACTTACAGGTGACGAAATCTGGATTTATTGTTATGATACTGAAACTAAGAGACAGTCTGCTGTCTGTGTGTTTCCTTCCGAGGAGTTGCCAACTAAAGTGAAGAGAGGTCGAAGCGTGGGAAAAAGATGGTGGCCTCGTTCTTCGGAAGGACAGGTCATTACGCAACAATTGTTATAGAGGATCGAAAACAGTTACTGTAGAGTGGTACACTAACAATTGTTTGCCACTTGTATTGGAAAAAGTTCGGGAGAAACGACCTCGCAGTAGGATCCTTCTTCACCAAGACAACGCCTCGTCGCACACCGCCAAGCAAACAATCGACTACTTGGCGATGTCAGACGTGGCATTACTGGGTCACCCGTCCTATAACCCCGACCGCGAACCTTGCGATTTTTATTTATTTCCGAAAATAAAAGGAAAACTTCGAGGAAAACGTTTTATGGACGCTGAGGAAGCAGTGGCTGCGTTTCAAAATGCCGTCGAAGAGACCCCTAAGGACGAGTGGGCAAAGTGCTTTTCTCAGTGGTTCCATCGGATGCTGCGATGTATTGATGTGAATGGACACAATATTGAAAAGATATAATAAAACTAATAAGTTGCTAGTCTCTTCAGTTTTTGATTTTCTAAGAACTTTCAGTGTCACCCTCGTACATGCTCGCAAGTTACTATATTATATCAATTTATTTAAGCAATGGTGTCGA